AATATCTCGTAAACTAAAAGAGATAATTAAGATCTGATCGCAGCGTCTTAATCTACGGACTATTCTCTATAAGATAGGATAGTTAAAACGGAAATCTGAGAGATGAAATTTTAATTCTTAAGAAAAAATTGCCAAGGGGGGGGTGCTTGATACTTTTTTTCGACGATTTTCAAAAATTAATATCTCCTAAACTAAAAGAGATAGCAACCCACGAATTACTGATTATGAAAGATTGGAAAATTCTCAATCAGATAAAAGTATAAAATAATTATATTTCCTACAGTAAAAGGTCGAAAATCGCGACTGAAAGTGCTAAAAAGTGACATTTCTCAATTTTTGCCCATTTTATTCAAACGCGAATATCTCGTAAACTAAAAGAGATATTTAAGATCTGATCGCAGCGTCTTAATCTACGGACTAATCTCTATCAGATAGGATAGTTAAAACGGAAATCTGAGAGACGAAATTTTAATTCTTAAGAAAAAATTGCCAAGGGGGGGTGCTTGATACTTTTTTTCGACGATTTTTGATAATTAATATCTCTTAAACTAAAGGCGATAGCTACCAACAAATTGTTGATTATGAAAGATTGGAAAATTCTCAACCAGATAAAAATATAAAATAATTATATTTCCTAAAGTAAAAGGTAGAGAAACGCGACTAAAAGTGCTAAAAGGTCACATTTATCAATTTTTGCCCATTTTATTCATTCGCGAATATCTCGTAAACTAAAAGAGATAAATAGGATCTGATCGCAGCGTCTTAATCTACGGACTATTCTCTATCAGATAGGATAGTTAAAACGGAAATCTGAGAGATGAAATTTTAATTCTTAAGAAAAAATTGCCAAGGGGGGGTGCTTGATACTTTTTTTCGACGATTTTTGATAATTAATATCTCTTAAACTAAAGGCGATAGCTACCAACAAATTGTTGATTATGAAAGATTGGAAAATTCTCAATCAGATAAAAATATAAAATAATTATATTTCCTAAAGTAAAAGGTCGAAAAACGCGACTAAAAGTGCTACAAAGTAACAATTATCAATTTTTGCCCATTTTATTCATTCGCGAATATCTCCTATCCTAAAAGAGATAATTAAGATCCGATCGCAGCATCTTAATCTACGGACTTTTCTCTATAAGATAGGATAGTTAAAACGGAAATATGAGAAAAGAAATTTTAATTCTTAAGAAAAAATTGGCAGGGGGTGTTTGATAATTTTATATATTATGGAAGATTGGAAAGCTCTCTAGCAGACAGAAGTTTAAATAAAAATCGTGTGTGCAGTTCACACGCGGTATAAGTGAAACGTTCAGAACACTGCACTTTTAGTGTCGTTTCATTAATTTTGAAATCACAACGATTCTAAAGAAGTTTTCATTTCAATAAAGGTTCCGAAAAAATATCACGAAAAAAAGCTAAGTAATGGTTTTCACATTTTCCTCGATTTTATATACATGCTATAAATGCAAATATCTCATAAACTAAAAGAGATAGAGATAAACAAATTGCCGATTCTTAAGCTATGGGAAATTCTTTATTAGATAAACTATTAAAATTGGGAAAATAAGCAGGGTCGAAACAAGTTTATATCGAAAATGGACAAAGGGAGATAACCTTTTGGAACATTTTCTTTTTTTTCTCTATATTCTATTATGATTCTGTTGTTCTTGGCAATTGAAGTTTTTTTCTGTTTCGGTAATTGTCTTTTGAACTCCTAGGCCAAAAATACTGGTGAGGTAATTGAATAATTCAGGTAATTAAAAAAATAATTTTATTCGCAGGTTACATTTCCAGTGATGTCACTCTAAAATCGTCGATGTTTGTAAATTTTCGGTGTTTTTTTCCTGAAATTTTAGCTTTTGCTTTGATATCTAGTGGTTTTCTGTTCATATTACTCTTTACATTATATTTTTATTTATTCAATCCTTTATGGCAGCCTGGGTTTATTAATATTTGTAAATAAACATCTCTTTGAATTGCGTTCATGGTCACATTGTGCGAACGCATCGCACACCTGATAGTGGCCGCGTGTTGTCGCCGTCGGCTGTGCACATGCAGTTTTATTTCGGACACAGATTGAGACGCGTGCATTTATCGCGACTAGTTTTGTTTCTTCCTATAATAATTATTTATATTGATGGCATATACCGGAATCGCGTGTTAACCATGTTTTGCAGGTGCGTGCGTTAAATCAATCAATCGCGGAGTAATCGACGGTTCACTTGTGCGCGTGTTAGGTTTTGTCGGCCGTCGGTGATTGTTCTTTGCCTGTGAAATTAACTGAAATCAATTTTAGAATAGGACCTGTTGATCCTCAATTAGCAAATACAAAATGCTACCGTGTAAGTAAAATTAATCGGATAATTGTCGTCTCCAACGCGGATTGTGTCACTAGTCCTCTCCAGCCAAATATGGTAATGAAATCTTTCCATCAGAGCTTGAATATTGGTTTTCATTACGCAAAACACTTATGGACGATCACTACAATCTGTCATTTGTTAAAAATATTCATATTTCTTCGACAATTGTCCAAGTATTTATTGATATTAAGCATGTATTAAGTAGCGCGATTTAGTTTATATTTATGATGATCCGTCGGATCGTTTACCTGGCACTTTTAAAAATTATAATAAATTAGTAAAAAAAAACACATTTATAGTTAATTATGTGTTATCTACTTGATAATTTCCAATGCTTTTACAATAGAACTTACCATCTTAATATATATATATATATAAATTTTATTATAAATTGTTTCCTTTGTGTAACATCGTGCCTAAGAAAATAGATTATCTTTTTTTAGTTTTTGTTCTGTTCATTTTTGATCTTTGGATATGTTTTTAAAAGTAGTTTTTGTCCTTTCTTTAAAACTCTGTAATTTTTTTTAATAAGAGCTTGTTTTCCACTTGAATTTTCAATTTTCTTTTTGGGACACCCTGTATTTTGGTTTTCCTTTTACATCCATGTAAAAATTACCTGCTTTTGTCATTTTTAAATATGTCTCTTCTTGATCTATGATTTTATTTATACCACCCTGTATGTTTGTCTTTCTTTATCCACGTTTAAAATTGGACATATTTGTAGTGTTTGGAAGAATGCCCTCCTGAACTTTGGTATATATCTTAAAATGTTATTGTTTTTCTTTTTGTAACACCCTGTATGTTAGTTTTCCATGTTGTCACGTGATAAATGATAAAAGTTAGTCATTATTCAGGGTTTGCGTTCTTGAACATTTAATTTTCTTTATGGTTGTTTTCTTTATGTACGACCCTGTATTTGTTTCACGCGAAAATTTTTGTTATCCTGGTTATTGTATTCGGCAGTTTCCCAACTTGAATTTTAGTTTTTCTTTTGCATCACCCTGTATTAATTTTTTCCTCATTATATAGTAAAAATAGGCCATACTTATTATTAGGAGTTGTATTTTTAAAATTATGATTTCCTTTTACAACACCTTGTATATTAATTTTCTTCCATGTCAGGTAACAAGTAATTACGATGTATGTTATTCACTAACACTAGATATTTCTTAAAATATTGTCGATGTTTTTGTAACACCCTGTAGAATAATTTCCCGGGATGTCACGAGAAAAGTGGTAGTGATATGTGTTCCTACTTGAACGTGAATTTTTCGTTTTAAATATTATACTTTTCAGTTTGTAACACTCTGTATAATATTTTCCCTGATATTCTGTGAAAATTTGGTAACATTTATTAGTATTATTGTGTTTTCTTATTTGAACTTGATGTACATGTAGATCCTTGTACATACCATGCTGGTAACAAGCTTTGTTTAAAAATGGCGGCAAGTTCTCTAAGTGTTATGTATTCTAATTTTAAGTTACGTATATAAATATTCTAATAAAGAAATATTAAGAAACATTGTAACTTATAGTTACCTAGAAAACACCTAGAAAATAAGCCCTTTGCTCATTTCTTTATCCCTGTAGAATTGTAGAACATTATTATGTGGTACTTGCTTACATGTGCGTGGCTATGCACATTATTTGGTTGATTTGTAAAATCTAAACTTGTATTCTATTGTTAATAAAGAAACAGTAAGATATATTGACTTCTTTCATTTGTGTGTTCGCCTTCTATCATTTCAGGAACAGGTCTCTAAGAGAGTTCCCTCTCTCAGGGAATGATCCCCACTATAAAAATTGTCAAGGTATCCTGTATGATTTGTGTACTCCATCTTTCATTTCAGCTACAGGTCAGAACTTGTAAGAATATTTTAAAGTGTTACCTCTCTTGAGGCGACTTAAAACTTAGAAATATTTGAACAAGACCTTATAAGGATTGTCCTTATAAGGAGTTCCCTCTCTGTGGGGGTGATCCCCCACCATAAAAATTGTTGATATGCCTGATAATTTCGGGGATGAAGCGCAGAGACATCGTAGCTGTAGGATGGGCCGGGAGCAATGGACGCATCGAAGCAGTGGGCGATCGACCAGAGCGCCGGAGGCGCTCTGGGAGATCGACCTAACTGTCTTATAACGACACGTGCCAAAAAATTTAAAAATTTGATCCTCCCCTCTTCTCTTTCTTCTATCTCCTCCTCTTCTCTACTCTACTCCCTGTTCTCTCTTCTTTCTATCTTCTCTACTACTCCTTCTTCTATTTCTCTGTTCTCCGTTTCTCCACTTGCTCTTTCTTATTTTTCATATTGCCTTCGCTTGTAATTCAATTTCTCTTATACTTCGTTGCATTCATATATGCAACCCAAATTACACCTGATATTTTTATATTTGAGAAAAATGCCTTCTATACCTGAGATTCGATCCGTGTCTGCTAGAATGCCAGCAGGTGCACGTCTCCACTCGACCACCGAGTGTTTTTGTTATTGTTATTTGATTCTTCTATTTTATTCAACTTTTTAAAAATAACAACGCAACACAACAGCCAACAAAGGTAGGTTGTACCTGTTGTAAGGACCAGGATTAAAGACTTATGTCGAATATTGTTGTATTTCAATGTTCCAATTAGGGAAATAAATTTTAAAATATATTTTATATAAATTAATATACCAAAATTGTTTTACACATATGTCACAGTTAGTTTCTTTCTTACTTTAAGTTAACAATAAATTTTAAATATTCATGCATAAATGTTGTCTTATGTAAATAACATACGATAAATGTTCAAATCTTGTAACTATGGGTAACAAATACAATCGTGGCACAAAACTAAGATGTTCATCCCTCTTGTTATCTTTAACTTTTAAAAGACAGTAATAAATAAATTTATGAAGAAAACATAAATTGCAGCTACTCCAGTCGGTAGCAACTGGTAAGTTGATTATATAATATTTTGACTAGAATTCGGGTACTCTCCGAGACCGCTTCACACCATTCAATCGTTAAGAAGTGTTTTTGATGTTGGACTAAGTAGATTAAGTGAGGCTCCAGAATGCATTGGGTTTCTTCGAATGATAAATGTTTTGAGGCCTGTTGATGGTATTAGGTTTGTGCAGTTCCCCTATAAAGATAAGCAGCAACCATATTAATTCAAATCTTGGAACTTTGAACTAAAGTGCTTACTATGGACTATTACACTTACATTTTTGAGCCAAGGTAACTCTAAACAATCTTCCATGTTGATGCGTTGGGTCGGCATCAAACATAGCAACCGACTTATAAGATCTTTTGCTTCAATTGAAACATTGCAGAAATATTCATCCGGAAAACAGTAATCACATTTGAGAATATTTGTCGTTGTCTCTTCAACAGAGTCGTCCAAGAATGGCGAAACCCCGCTAAGGAGAACGTACAGAAAAACGCCAACGGCCCAATAATCGGTGTGTTTTCCAACCGGTTGACCCAATACAAGTTCTGGGGAAGCAAATTCTAAACAAGCTGGGGGAAGTATGATACTTTTTGCGGTGTTGACACAATCACCAAAGTCAATAAGCTTGATTTGATGGGACGCATTTGAAATATCTAGCATTACGTTTTCCGGCTGCAACAATGAGAAGTTTTAGACCACGCTAAGAGAGTTATGTGCAGAAGTACCTTCACATCCAGATGAGCTAAATTCTGCCGATGTAACCATGCCAAAGCGGAAATCAACTGCCTGCTGTAGTCACAAACTTCCAGTTCGCTATACACTTCACTTTGAATCAAATAGTTGTACAGATGTACCCCACGGACGCTATAAAATACACAAAATATTAATTTAATTTAAAAAAAATAATAATAAAAATTTAAATACGTACATTTCTAAAACAATGGTATCGATGCCCGGGACGGGTGCGTTGTCGAATAGAGCCATAGCATGAATGATATTTGGGTGTTGCATCCCCGCTAAGAGAGTGTATTCCGCTTGAGTGACTTTATGTGGTTGTCTCCGACGAAAAATTTGCTTGAGTGCAACTTCTTGGCCAGTCCCGCGATCCTGCGCCTTCCGTACTATGGAAAAACGGCCTCGATCTAACTCCTCACATTCAATATATCTCCTTTTAAATTGTTCTTGTTGCCATCGCAAATTATCAGCAACAGGCAGGGTTACCGTTACACTATGTAGAGATACTTGTCTGTTAGGTATTGTGACAATTCGGAAACTGTACGCTTCTCCAGGTATCAAACGCTCCACTGTATAACTCAATGAGTTCAAGGGTTGGTCATTGTTAGGTGACAGCCATTCACCCGTACCGATCTTGCAATATTCAACAAGGTACTGTTGGTTTCTATTAGTATCATTTTCCCATTCAAGTAAGACACTTGCTGAGGATATCACTTGAATCTTAGGCTCTTTCAAAAACGGTAATTTTTCAGATACAACAAGATTTGCAGAGCATTGTGCGCTCCCAATTTCATTCGCGGCTATACAAATGTACGTCCCTGAATCTGAGTTCCGAACATTGTTGATTGTCAATGTAGCATTCCCATCCAATTGGCTAAGTTGAAATCGTCCCCCATGGCGCATCACACAAGGATCTGGTTCGATCTTCCGCCATGTTATCTGACAAGCGCGACCGCAGGGTTTTACAAAGCAGGATAATACCGCACGGTCGCCACATATCACGGTGGTGTCTTGAATCTTATCAATAAAATCAGGACAGGAAACTTCAGGAATCAAGTTGTCCTGCAGTGTTGACGCATCGATGGATCTTCTGCCGTGTGGAAAACTAGGTTTTCGAAATCGAAACGACCACGCTTTTCGGTTGCCGTTAGAAAGCACCTGTGCAGGCAACCAGGCCTCTTGTTCCGAATTGGAATTCGTCCTCACGAGGTACCCCTGTGTGGAATCGTAACGAATCACGGTGACTATTTCACCGGAAGATAATTCGGAATGGTCGTTGATCAAGCGCGCTTGCGTTCCCGGCGCCATTACGTGATTATCGTACTGTTTCAAAGTAAATATAATTAGCACAACGCACACATCCAAATTATGAACAAATAAAAATTACATGCGTGCAGTTTTAGTGTTTATTGATGAGACTATGACTATGATTATATACTGTTTTAGGCGAATGATAAATCAAAAGTGAAAGTTAGAATGGTAGTTTTTAAATTGTTAGAAATGTTAATAACAATCATGCTCACCCCGTTCGGTGTTGTTCTTGTCGGAACCATCAAATAAAACTATTTACAGTTTCACATTATATAAAATAGAAAAGCCAAGAAAAATTTGAATCAAATAGTTTCGTAATTTAATGAAAACATTATACAATTAACTCTAGATTATAACAATGTCTCGTATCACAGCTCATTTTTTGTTAACACATTTACATCCCATATTCTGGCGCCATGTAACGCAGATTTGAATGTTTAAATTTTTGGAATCGCGTCAACGACGACCGTTCGATGGTCATTTGACCTACAAGGTAAGAAGAAACATCAGCATGCATTACGTCTACGAAGCTAACAGGCTACCATTTTCGCGGTTGCAAGGATCGTGTTTTGTTCTTTGGAGAGCTTACCGTTGCGGGGGAACTTTCGGACCAGCGCCGCGAGTCCTCATTGCTGTTGCCATCGGTCACAGCCATCGTCGATTCGCTTTTATGCTTGCCGAACAAACCGTTCAGTATCCGCTTTGATTTGCGGTGTTCCTTGGTGTCTTTGTTGCGCTTGGCCATTAGCTCTGCGTCGGACGGTATGCTGATCGTATTTGCATGTTGTATTGGGTTTATACTCTTCTTGCCACTCGTTGGTGGAGGCGGTGGCATGCCGTATCGAGCCGGATTTGGAGTTGGAATTTCAAATGCGAAAGGCGAACTAAATTAAAAATTAGCGAAAGAAAAAAAAATCATAAAAAATCAAAATAAAAAACTTATGGTGTGTTAAAAGACAAGTTAAACTGTACCCAACTACAAAATAAAACAAAACAGAAAGGCAAATTCATGTTAAAAGCCCAAGCAAACACAAGTATTAGGAAATCACTCCAAAACGTCATTCTCATTTTGAATCATATTATATTTATATATCAATCAATTAATATGTAATGTTATTTATGTACAATCATACACATTCTATATACACCGTCAAAAAGTAAATCGATTTAACTCTTGAAACATAATTCAAGTAAGTGTCTTCGGCAACGCAGGATATACAATTGAATTAATCACTTACTCTGCTGCAAGAATATAAATTACAACGACCATAATAATTATTATTATATTCATAGAAATTCTAGATGAGTATTTGGGGTATGTTTATGTTTATTCCTTTGTGTTCTTACTCTTTGCTTTAGACTTTAAGACGTTTTTAGAGGTAAGAGTTGTCGGGTGATACGTAAAATATTGTGACTAGTATGAGTCAACAGATAAAATCGCGTCAACACATCCCAAGCTCTCAATTTCTCATTCGATATCGCACCTCCCCGAATAATTTCTTCACAACAACGGACATCATATAAGATTTAAATAAATTCGCTTCACATCGTTAAACTACGATCACAATGCAATCAATCATATTTGTAGAGATATATCGAGACAAGAAGTGTTTTTGCTTGAGCAAGAAAGACAAAATATCAACCAATTGTTTTGTTCATGTAGTGGCAATATCTATTTATGATTATATATATTTCATATGCATAGTAAATATAAAAATAGTAGATATTTCAACTTGCAAGACTCGTATGTAATTCTTTCATTGCTACGACTTTTTAATTTTTAAGTGTCATTTGAAAAATGATTAGATATCTACTATTTTAGCATTAGAACGTTAATGTTGGAGTTTTTGGTGTTGTGTGTTTACTTGTGATTACTTTTATGAATTTCAGACAGAGCGAGAAAGTTTACATAATTTTATCTTCTTCTAGTTTGTCGAATGATCATCATATAATTTGTTAAAATACCCGTGTGATACGTTAAAAGTTAATGGAAGTGTGTTCGTGTATTTATCGGTGCCTACATGTTCTTTTTTAGTTTAGCGTATGTTTGGTAATGAATTGTACAAGCTGCGCCACGCGCGAACACCACGTGTAATCGTTCGTTTCCATAAATAATTAACAATTTTACATCCACGCACACCCTCTAAATACATCTCAAATTAATCTGCAGATCTGTTTCAATGTACCGGAAACGAGAGAATTAATCATTAGTCCCATCACCACATCACATTTAAATACATTTTTACGATTTGTGTTTACCATATTAATGTGTATCGCATTTAGTTTCTTTGTTTAATCATAGTTATATAACAGATAATTAGAATCACAACCAAATCAATGAAATGCAACGAGAACGCAAACTCGCTCATTCTACCTCTCCCCAAGCATTTCGCCTCAAACCGTTTTACCACGAAACCAAACGCAAACCACCCCAGTGTTGTTCGAATTTTAGCAACATTGTACTCACGAGTCTCTCGTCAGCTGATTCTGATACGCAATCGGGCTTTGGATTGCTTTTAGGAAGTTTGTTTGCGACTGCAAAATAGCGTCGATCGTCGATTCCCATTGCGCGTACATTTCCGCCGATGGCGCCTGGCATTGTAGCATTTGCATACTTCTGTTCGGATCGGTAGATTTTAAAATAAACGACAATGGCTCACTTGGTTCTGGTTTCATGTCCATTTTATTCATCTAAAAATCACAAACAAAACATTGAACACACAACATTTTCACAACTTTTCATTAAAACATACCTGAATATGTGTTTTATAGTAATATTTCGGACTAGTAAATTGATTCTTCCTGCCCGATGACTCCGAAAAGATAATACTTTGTTCGAATAAGAACACGTGAAGTTCTTTATTTTTACCAATGTTGACGTTTGAGTTTGTATTCAAGTCGGTGACAATTAATGCCCCGTTTAACAATAGTTTCCCTTGTGCCGTAATTTTACCCTAAAAATCATTTAATAAGTTTTGCCCATCATTAAAAGTATTAAATTAGAATACCTCAAAGCCCTGCAGTCGTCCAACGTCCATCATATCATTTGCAGACTTCGGCACAACAGTCATCACATGCAAAGCTTCTCGTAGCATCTTGGCTTCTTGCTCAAGTCCAGCCCGCTCAGTGTGCTTATGCAGATCCTTCAGTAACAGCTGATACTTCATGATACGCTGCACTGGTTTGATAAGCAGATCGCAGATTTGCAGCTTGTGGCCGAGATGAATTCGCAGTTCTTCAAAGTATGTATCAAGATGTTCCGACACTATAAATTCGCTGACCGGTTTGTTTTTACAGTAAACGACGTACATGTGCAGTTTTCTTTCACATCGCTTAAATAAAGGACCTAATTCTGCAGGGTGATCTAAACATTTCTGTAATTCTTTTAGAAACGTTCTGTAATGGAAAATATACACAACAATTAATAGATATGATTAAATAATTTTTTTTTGGTACATACTCATTGTGCCAGCTATAAATATTTTCAATATTGCCGAAGACCATTTTATCCTTTCCGGATTTCAGGTCATCTGGCATTGGGATCTCGCAGTTCTCGTCCTTCATCGTTGGTATATAACCGTCAATGATCAGAGCCAAATCTTGCACATACTTCTGTTCAGTTTCGATCAATTCCTGCATCACATAGCTGCGTTTCTCGAGATGCGTCTCCTTAGCGTCGGACGAAGAGCCTTCCTCGGCATGTTTGTTGTCGCTTTCGTCGCCGCTGTATGCCGTCGTAGCGTCGTTGGAGGAGCATTGCGCAGATAATTCTTTATGTGCGTTCTCGCTGTCGCTCAAGCCATCGGGCTTAGCGTCGCGTAACAATGAATTCCGCTCCTGGTTCTCGGTGTGTTGCTCCTATAAAGAGCGCGCATTATTTCGAGCTCAGTCAACAGGTTTGCAATATTATGCAAATAAACATGCGATGAAATACGGTGTGCGGGATTAATTATACGTGCCGTCCAAAAATGAAATATTTAACACAAAGAAAAAGTGGGACGAAACCCATTTCTCGATAAAAAAAAATACAAACCAAAATACAACAATGAAAAACAACTACAACCATGCATACGTAACGAAAGTAATCAACAACAGAAATAATCATGTAAGGAGACAAGCTGAAAATAAGTGAAAATTCGCACCATTCGCTCCTTAACTATTTGCTCTATCTCCGCTAAATCGGCCGACGTCGCTCCTTCTAGCGACTTCAACGTTAAACTAGACACCTAAAGACGCGACAAACACAGAGAATGACAATGTTAAGACAATGCAATTACCATGAAGTATAACCATGGAATAGTAATGATCATGATTAACGAGAAGGAATTTGATTCCTCTAATGTAGAACAGAGTATTTACCCTTTTGCTGGGATTCTCCTCGATGGGCGGTACCGCGCTCGTTGTTGCGCCGCCACCAACCAAAATCGGCTCCTGAATAGGTTTCATCGGCGGCGGTAGTTCTACTTCATCGTCAACGTCCTCACCGCCACCGTTTGCGATCTCGTGTGTCAGCCGGTTGATGCGCACCGTGCGCTCCTCTTCATCTTCGCCCTCCGATACGGACGGTTTGTTGCCCATATCGTTTGGCACCTAGAAGAATAATAAAGCACACACAATCAGCGATCTGATTCGTTACGTTCGAATGAGTTAATATTCGACGAGTTGCGACTCGAACGCGTGCGCGCATTTTCAAGTATGCACGCATTGCGCGCTCGACTCGAGTGCGACCGGAAAATGATAACTTTATCAGCGGCAAACCCGCCAATCACTGCGGCCGTCCAGATCAATTATTTCGCAGTGTTTATTGCAGGGGCTTTACATTTGCTGTGATAAGCAGTGCAAATATGACGGGTTCCTCAAAGGCAGCACGTCTCAAATATTGTTCTAGGTGATATCAGTGATCAATGATCTACACATCATAATAACTGTTCTGCACAATATTACGCCACTCGAATCCCCGATAATAAATTATTGACAGAGGTAAATTCGGAACATAAAACCTTGTTCCCATTAAAGTTCAACAAATAGAAAAAAGTTGACATTGTAAAATCAAATATCCGGACACAATACATTGACTTGTTAATGGCAAAACTGGCAAGTAAAATAGTACAGTGTTAATTACCTTAATACGTTTGTCCGATCCGGTCTTCTTGAGCGGCGGTCTATCGGCCGTCGACTGAGTCTTCTCCACTTTGCCCTGTGACAGTTTCCGCAGTTGTGGCGGCAACCATTTCCGGCTGGAAAAACAAAGCGCATTTATTGGCTCGGCTTTCATGTCAATCGCTCATCGCCACAAACACAAGCGAGCGCTATCCCTCCGCGTGCGGACAGACACATCAATGCACATCTCCCGTCATCTTGCCGGCCCGCGCCTCGTCTCGTTTCAGCATAATGATTGCGTCACCATGCGCGACGCCATTTTCCATACATATCTCGCACAAAAACAACCACAAAGACCCGACCGCCGACCCCGAACCGTATAGCTTACATTTAAATCACACACATAGAAATATACAAACGGAGAAGTCAATATACCTGAAACTCTTCCGCCGTTTGGGATTCAATTTCTCATCGCAGCAACTCGAGCAATGCGCTCGCAAAAATTTACGCACCGCACTCATTTTCACGTGCCGCAACTCGTGAAATGAATATTTAATTACTAAAGCAAATTAAGCACTACTTTGTCTTATCTCTGACACCGTCCCGCCTTATCATGTTTTTTTATGATGAGTAATCACACTTAAGAGTGAATCTGGAAACTTCACTCGGAATTTAATGACGCATTACGCGAACGTGAATAAAACGAAAACTTACTCCCACACCTGTGTTGACACCTCCAGAGTTCACAACGGTTTAAAGTTATCCGACTTGAGAAAGGTTACGGGCGTCAAGTGGCCGAGCGCGGCAGGAATAAATTCAACCGAAACATTTTCTTAGCATTACGTAAAAATAATGCTAAATTAATAGGTGTGTACGTGTAGGTCATAGGTGGACTCGCGTGCGTATTGTTCCGGCAGTGTTTCGCATGTCCGCGTGTCTCTAATGGACCGACACACGCCCTCTTTGCATAACGCTTAATTACTTTTCGTTTTGTACGTTTTTGTAATCGTGAGAGTGTGTGGCGTGAGCTGGCGGTGAATATGAGCTCAGTGCACGACATTGTTTCGGCGAAAATTCGGTCGAAGGATTTTTATTAATATTTGTAATTACTCACCCACTAAATCCGCGACGTTTGTTCACCGGTGACGAAGTGTTGATGGTGCTTCCCTCGTTACTGCTTGGTGTCGGTTCTGCAAAAAAAAAAACACAGACGTTACACTATCCATTCAACATGAGGAAGTGGCATTATTTGTTGATAAGCATTGTTTGGTGTTTGACCAAGCGCACCTTGTTTTAAATACTTTTGCACTTTGTCATACACGTTGCGCATCGTCAATCGCGGTGGACGATGGCTATGCGGGGATTCCAACATTATCGTCTTATCTTCCATAACACTTGCTACGAGCATATTTTATCAGCATCCGGCGGCGGAGTAATCACGAATGTTTTAAATTGCGATCACATGAGACGACCGTCACAACACTGCAAGTTTGCATATGAAATGAATTATGAATTGAAGTTGAATCAGCGCAAAAAATGGTTCAGGGCTACTTTACTTGTAAGATCAATTACTGTACTTGACATAGAAATTGATTTCCTAGTAAAATCCTAAGAATACTCGAGTATATCGGTACAATGCGTAGGAATTTCATAATAAATATAGTAATCCAGCTCCTATTAATAAATCTCCGCGTACGAGAAACACACGCGCCGCCGTCCGAGTTTTGAAGAATGTTTAAATATTTTCGAAAATGTTGCGACTGATTAATCGCATCCTAATCTTCGGCAACAGGCGCGCACGTAAACATACGAATGCGTTCCACTTCGGAGCGATGACGAGTGTGAGTTAAAATTGTTGCACTTGACCAAAAATTCAAAAAAAGATGAACTAAGGCATTATTCGTCCGTTTTCATCAACGACGTAGTTGCGATAATTTTAGAAGCTTTCTCGGACATTTTTGCTGCCACAAACTACACACACACTTAGCGCGAATCTATAAAATTTATACGCTGCCTCGATTTACACTTATTTTGTATTTTATGTTTTTATCGAAGCTCGCTTGTCGCCGCCGCTCTGGTATACTATTCAATTACATAAATCACAAACAATACAACGACAATTGCACAGCCATTGCTTACATTGACCGGTTGAATGTGATGTTTGATGTGCGAATGATCACTGTTTTTTTTTGTTCGCGCGCCCTTTCACCGACTTTTTACAGGCGTCGGCGTCGCGTCGCCCGCCGGCGCACACTTGATAGCACCTAATTAATCTGCCAGTCAGCTAATTGCAGCACAATCGATGTATAGGTGTGCACGCACTTTTTTTTCGCAGGATAACGCGCGCCCGACTTTGGATTACTGACGAAAACGGCGCGCACATCCGTACGCACTTCGTATTCGTTCCGCTTCTGATATTATATTAAATATATTCATACTATATCAAGATACTCGCGCCGATCGTTCCGAGGGGCACCGAGCAGAATATGTGCGGTCTATGACTACACGCTTTTCGCGCCACGGCCAAATAAATGCCGTCGTGCCAGCATAACTCGCGTCGATTTTTTTTTCAAACCACAAACAACACAACTCGAGTCTCCAATGCACACAATTAACTAGCGCGTTTTGTCACTTTTGCATGGCTAATGAAGGCATTTGTGCAAGTATGAGAGCGGCAAATAATTCCATCATGTTATGCTAATTTTTGATGCAATTTGATGTGGGATTTATCTATTTAATCATCAATTTTTATGGCTTAATAGAAGCATAAATTAAATAAAGTAACACGTTTTAGAAAATAAGCTCTTAGGCAATAAAACTGCAACTCCCGATGACAAAAATAAATAAAAATACTTGGAGAACAATTAAGTAATATTCTTAACAGCTGGGAAAAGACCGCAAATCAGGAATCGGTTACGCATAACGAGAGGGAACATTGCGATCTTATTTTCCTCTTGTGAACTAAAGATGATCTTTTATCCTATACTAAACCAATATCCCTTTAACGTACTTCAAAAAGTTTGCAAAACCATGTAAAACGCTTGATATTGAACACCTTGTGTCTTTAAAAGTTTGGCTTTGTAAAGTTTTATAATCCACATAATCTAATTATTTGCAATTATACGATTTTTCATAACTTTAAGCTCTAATTCACGATGTAAATATTTACACAACACGCAGACCAACCGCGCCATAACGGGTAAGCAGACATACCATTAATCTTTTTCTTTCTAGAAACAAAATTAAATAATGCTGGTTTGTATCACAAAAAAGAACATCAAACGCAAAATTAGAATTGACTTTAGTGCAAAAGAACTATAACTAGCGCTGATACAATAAAATTAATTCAGCCCCACTGATATTGTTAAAGTCGAACAAAACGAAACTACTAATTGAGACATTATTTTGACGCATGTACACAACCTTGTACGAACATGTTGGCCATTTAAAGCCATCCGTTTCGACGATAAGTAATATCTAAAATGATATGCTAATTTTCCCGAGTCGGTGCTTTTGTTTAGTTTGTTGTTTCAACTTTTCTTTGAATACGCAACCGTCGGCGGACAAATAAACGTAAGTCTTCCAGAATAAATTGTCCGGCGCTCATCTCACGTCTATTATTACGAAATGATTTAATAAACGCGGCTGTTGTCATTTGCATCCTGTTTATGCGCAAAACGCGCGCCATTATGTCCTGTTTATTATTTCATTCATTCCGTCATGTTTAGTCTGAGCTTCCTTAATTTTCGATTGATTGATAAATCGACCACTTCCGCCGCGCTTTTGCAATTTTCGCTTGGAACTAATTGCCAAGAATCTTCGGCGTTTGTGTGTTTTACATTTTTCAAAGAAATTAACCTTAACCTTCAGTTGTTGGTATAATCCTTATTAAGTGAGTGAAATTGAGCTTTTAGGCACGCGGAAAAAACGTTTTGTATAATCCACTAAACGACATCATAAAAGTTAGAAGAAACGCATTATCTTAGAACGCATATGTCAACATGTTGCAATAAATTTTTTGTGATAAATATTCATTGAATTATGACAAACTGATGCTTTTATTATTATGTAATGAATATTTCAAACATTGCAGAACTGCAAACATATTCTCGTGCACTAAAAATACAATGTGAATACGCAAACTGTCACCGAGCAAAAATGATCTAAACGTGAAAAGCGAAAGTAAAATGTCGTGATTTATGTCCTTATACGACTTAAACCTAGATAAACTAGTTGTTGCGTGTACAAACTGCGCTTTATGTAGCCTGGCATCGCGGATCTGACGTCGAGCGTGTATCTTGTTGATATAGGTGAGACACTAGGCACGATTTTAATTTTAGACCGCGCGAGTCGCGACGAACGCCCCGAGTGCCAAAAGGACACTCAATGAAATACAGGCGCATATGTGCGTGTGCGTCGTTTTTATTTTATTTATTTAGTTGTTGCTCTTTGGCGGCGCGCCAGATGAGAGAATTTGCGACATAAAAATTGTTTCGAAATTCGCGCGACATTCTATTTGGAATGTACCTTTTTTGTCAATTCTGATCAAAACGCCGTAATTCCTGTCTCGAAATAAAAATGTATTCGGCGGAGGGCACGAGCTCGGTCGTTGTGCGGCCGATGACGAATCACAATCAATACCAATGTTTATTTGTGTGATCGATATTTGTTATTATGTTGCCGTCCGGATAGAGCCATGCTTTGAAGCGTACACGCGTTTAAATAAAGACTGTAATAATTGTGGCAAATTCGATGCGAGTCACCGTCGTAAAAACACACCTTTTTGATGTATAATAATGTACACGGCGTAAAATTTAGTTACACTGGCGACCACCAGATGTTTCAAACTTTAACCTCGTGCAAGTCTCAGGCGAAACATCGCAATGAATGCAAATAAAAACGATTTTTGAAGAAGGAATACGCGCGCCTTGGCTTTCCTAACGGAAACATAATTCAACCTGCAAGATGTCTGATTTTATGTCCAAATATGCAATCTTGTTTCGTAGCAGGTTTGATCTAGCAACGCAGTTATGTAGCGTTACGCACGTTCGCAGCGACAAATATGGACGCAATATTTTGCAATCGCTTGGAAAACAAAGCAATCGTTGCTCATTGCTGTATCTAATCGCCATCGCGCAAATGGAGAAAGATTAAAGTTTACGTTCGTGGACCGCGATAAATTTGTTTCACGCTAGACACGATGTGCGAGGTGATAAAGTTTAATATTTTTCAAGTCGAAGCTGGTTTGCGTTGTCATAAGCTACACTATGCCCACATAGGTGCGGTAACGATAAATCATGGCTATTTTTTCGTTCCTTTCTTAGAGCAGCAGGGCGCCACCCCCGATCTACTGCTCCTCTCGCGGGCACAGCCAGTCGCAGAGAGAGGATGCTACCGGCGTTACCGCCGCCGCTCCGGCTGGCTGGCTGCTGCTGCGGGAGGTCGGGTCAAGGTCAGCGCGAACCTATTGATCCCGCCGCGGCGTTACCCCCGCGTCTTTTAGGGGGCGGCGCGCGCCCGCACACACACGTGCCGAAAATCATCACCGTCGTTGTCGTTGTCGAAAAATTCAAACGGAAGGGCGCACTTACCGTTTTCGTGATCGGCGGCGATGCGTCGCGATGGGCTGCTGCGTGGTTGCGGCGGCTGCTTTAGCACCGCCAACGGTACCAGTCCTTCGGGGACGCCACCACCAGACGAGGTGTCGTGGTCGGTGCCGCGTGTTGGCATTCGCACCAGACAATAGTCCGGTCGGCTGGGGCACACCTCGACAACCTCCACCTGCTGGCCCTTCGTCACCGTCAGTTCCTGTGAGCCGCATGCGGTGAAGTCGCTGACCACCCATGTCATCTCCAAGACTCCAGTCTGAAATTAATATAGAAATGCTATAAAAGTCAAAATACATAATAAATTTCGTCAATAGAGAAAATCATCCCGCTTGCGAAGAGGGCAGAGAGATGCGATGTTTTCAACATCGATTAGCTATAAATAACACGTACATTGACACACACAGCGCACACAATTCGGTGACATCCACCGCAGCACGCGCCGTCGACGACCGGCAATAGAGGGGCGGTTATATTGGCAGCGGCAGCGCTGCTGCCTCTTTGGAGCGTGCATGATTAGATTTCCTAATTACCATCACGGTTTAATGAGGTGACCGCGCGCGCTCTGGTTCTGAACGTACACAACCGCAAAAATGGTTTCCGGAAGGCAACCGCCTGACCACCGGAAACACCGAGATTTATTGTTTGCAAAGCATATAAGAAGAATTTCATTATTAACACTAAGCAAATTCGAGATAACGCTATACTAATTCATGTTTTGCATGACAGCTGCGTCAATAATTCAGCGCACAACAAGTGCAATTTGTGTAAATTGCTAACAGCGTGTATATTAATTTAATTATGTGTTGGCCGTGTACAACTTTCCCTTTATTTTCCTTCATTTCATGCATTTTACGGCCGTTGAAATGAGCTGCAATGCCACCCGTACTTTCGCCGTCGCCATCGCAATTGAAATTAAGAATAAAGATTATTAAACTTTGGCAATAACATAAAAATTCCATTAACGAACTGACCAAAAGGTCGTAAATAACGGTAAAATGTCACCGCGATGCGGTACAATCGCGGCGCAAATCTCTGATTTCGGCTCTTTTCGCGGCGAACAACTGCATAAAATGCATATAAAAAGGGTTTTACCTACAATACCAAAAAATATATATATAAAAACAAGCTATAAATGTAAGCGAACAAGTTTTTTAAACCCGGTGTGTGTTGGATAGAAATTTAAAGCAACGTAAAGTAGGAAGACTGCGTAAATAATTGGCCGCCGCGCGCATTGGCTTTTTTTTTCGCAATCATAATCAATTCGCAGCGCGCACAGAGAGCTGGCCGAGCGTAATTAAAACGCGTTTAGAAATAGCCGCATGGCTTTCGTGTCAACAAAAACCGGTCCCCGCCTGAGGTATTTTAAGCTTATTGATTCGCGTTTAAAAATTGCAAACACTCGCAACCGGCGGTAATCAGTAATAATGCAAGGCATCGGTTGACTGACGGCTGCGGATGCATTATTTAGTCAATAGGTAACGATTTTTTCGGCGCCGAGAAAATCGCAAGATTAATATTTGTTTTGTCTGTATGTGTATGAGTGTGTGTGAGTGTTGATGTAACTGTTTACCATGGCATTCTGGCTCGGTTGGCGGCGCAGGAGGCGCGCTTGAAACGAACTAGGAGTGTCGATCGTGTGCTGCCTGGTGAGCGTCGGATGCGCGGCGACGGATCCTCGGAACCACGGCAAGGATATCTTCCTTTTCGATTTCTGCGGCTTGGGCAGCCCGCCACTGCCACTACTGCCCGGACTCGACATTGTCGTCACCGGCACTTAAAAGTCCCCGCTATTTATTTAAAGTCTCTGTTGGTAGTTTGCTTTTTTTGTTTTAATTTTTATTCGCTGCACTCCTCGCACGCGTCAATAAACGTTTGCGATGCTTACTTTATTAGCGCGGAGTAAATGTTGTGTAGTTTCGACGGATATCTGCGGTCGTACGATGCGGTAAATTACAAACTTCTCATCGTAATTGTACGAACGTACTAATCACAGTTAAAATATTTCCAATGTATGTGGTATTTTTTATTATTAAATATTATTTTTATATATGTAGCAATCTTTTTCCTATTATTTTGTTTAAATTCCAGTACGCAATTATTTATGTATAATATTTAATATGTAATGATATTTGTAGTTAAAATAGCACCAATCACTGCATTCTTTTCCGTTTTCGTTATTTAAAGTGACTTCTTCGTGTTTCGCTGGACCGGTCCAACTTTGATGAGCGTCGCGATTTTTTTACGACATGGCTGATACGGATATTGAGGTCCCACTGACATCGCCGGCACTCTAACGCACTAACCCGTCCATCGGAATTGGAATTATCAGCGCGCGCGGGAGAGAAGCGATAGGTGTAATCTCGGCGCGCAAATAATCGTCCCGGCGAAGCGATGATAGTATTTTCGCGCAGATTAAAACCGCGCGCACTTCAACTGCGGCACCGGCGTCGTAGCGCGACGCATGGACCGCGGCGGCGACGTCTTCAGAAAGAGAAACTTCGACTTTAGTTTCGCCATGTTGCTCACGCGCGACTCGTCCTCGCAATGCTGCGGATTTTTGCATGGAAAACGGCTAGACTCCGGCGGCAGTGCGCGTGAATCTCTTGCGCTGCATGCTCTCTCGGTGCGGTGTGTTCGGCGGAATGCGCAGCACGGCGCTCGGGTTCGATCCCGGCAACGAACTGACAGCTCCGGCCGGCCCGGGAAAGGAAAGCGCCGGTCCGGAATAGTCCGGACCAGCGACGAGCGCGAGCAAACGCGAAGGAGGCGACGACACAGCAAGAGAACTGCTCTCTTATGCTCCCGCACGCCAAATCGTAGAAAATGCTCTTTAATTGACCATTACCCATTGTGTAAAATTGGTACAATTTTTAGCGCAATTCCGTCCCCCTGCGAAAATTAGATTGACGCCCAGCTGTGTTCGCCGATAATATCACACAGAAGTGATAACAAACCAATCAACATTAATCGGGCAATAAACTAGAGTGATTGCTTGCGTACCGAGTTTGTTATCTGAAGAGTACCCGCGATGTTTACGCAACAAACACACAGCCCTCGATAAAAACGAATAGTAAAGTAAACCTTGGGCGGAAGTAAAACGCACGCACATTAATCCATATTTTACGAGTAGCGACCATATCAAACAAAGCCATTAACTTGAAAGCAAAATTAATTAACAATTAATGCCGCCGCATCTTTGTTTGCTGCGTCGAGACAAAAAAAGGTAAAAAGCCGCGCGTAATGTCATAGGGTCGTGACCCTGCGTGCTCTCTCGTCCTGGAACCTAGAGCCTTGATCTACATCTGGCCAGCGGGACCGAATCCGCTTCGAAATTTCAAAAGATTTCATTCTCGTCTTATAAGCCGTCGCGCAACGTCGCCGTAAAGACACAAGGCACTGAAATAGTCTGTGCAACGAGAGAGCAATTCAATCACGTCGGAGATCGTAATTTTCCGGGTGGCGTTGATCAAAAAGTTCAATCATGTCGTCGCCGGCGTAATGGAAACGTTACCGACGACGTTGGCGCTGCCGGCGAAATTACTATGTCGATCAACATGCATTATTCAGCGAGGGGAAGAGTTTTCTCCGCCCGATCGATTTATCCGCTAGCCGTGAACAACTAATATATGTTTGTATGCCGAAATCCAACAGTGTACAATAAATTGCCTACCTTTGTAGACAGTAGCCTACTCTAATATGTATATGGGTTGCCTACCTTATCAGAATCGGTCGTGTTGCCGGAGCCGAAGGAAGTAAGCGAATTTCTATCCAGATTTTCAACGCTCTCGTCCAACGACGCGCACTCCTCCATGTCTCTGCAGCAAATGAAATCGTATTTTAATTGGAGGAATACATCAAACAAGTTGCAAATAATGCAATTTAAGAATTGCCAACACTCACCGGCTCGACCTCTGACTGTGCGTTTTCATCTTGGCGGGGCTCTTGGGCAGGGAGAGCGGCAGGGCGCCGCTGAAGTACGTCTCCTGTATGACTTCGCGCAGCTTCTTGACCCACAATTGCTTCGTATCCAGCGAGGAAGCTCGCAGAACAATGCGATAGTCGGAGATTGGCGCGCGGCCCGTCCACACAGCGAATTTACATTCGTCGCCTTCCATGTGTTCGGTTACACCCAATTCAGAAGTCTAAAACAATCACATTTAATCAGCAAATATTTTAAACACACGAATTAAATACTCACCATTAATTTGTTCTTATAAATATATTTCACTTTTCCCGCCGAGTCCTTGACTTCTTTGGCAAACAGTAAGTACAATTCGAAGAGGAAAATGTGCCGCTCTCGCCCCTTGCGGATGAGTTGTTTAGGATCCCATACACTGAAGGCATCCTGTAGGATAACTTCACCGAGTTTATCGACCGAAACGTCGCAACCTTCCAGTAACGAGAGGTGCATCGCGTCGTTGGCCTTCTTTGGCACGTTCAACATGACTTCCAATCCATCTTTGATTTCACCTTGACCTTCCTCACAGTTTGATTGTAGGTCTTTTAGCAACAGCTGGTATTTTGTTATTCTCTGGACAGGTTTAATCAGATATGCAGCAATAGGATGCTCCACTTTGTGTTTTTTCTGTAAGTCTTCAAAATATGTGCCACCATGCTGTACCAGCAAACTGTTAGACTCTGGCTTGTTCTTACAGTAATGCACATACATATCGAACTTCTGTGCCCAAGTCACAAAACAATGGCCGACATCTTCAGGCATTGTTTCATACTTTTCCAACTCTTTCAAGAAAATATTATTGTGGAAATGATAGATTTCCTCCATATTACCAAAAATGATCTCCTCTTTTCCCACAATCGGCGATGGCAAGCTTTGCGCGGCACGCATTTCAATAAGGAATGATTTAATACAAGTTTCCAAATCTTTTACATAAGTGCGTTCGGTTTGGAGAAGTTCCCCCATGATAAAATCTTTCTTCCGTGCTGATCTACGCTTCTCCTCGTTCAGTTCCTTTAAGTCTTTGGCGGCAGCTTCGTTTACTTTTGATTCCAAGCTCGGATCGGAGTTCCTATCAATAGATAACTCCTTTTTCTCACATTCACCAACTTGGATACCCAAAGTATCCTCCAATTGTTGACGATAGTTCTCCATGCGAGAACTAAAGTCCTTGTAGCGGTTATCTACCGCTGCAACCCATTGTTTGATTGAGTTAGCGTGAGCATGTCCTTTTTCGACAAGACTATCAGCGAGTTGAATGAGTAGTTTGACACGCTCGCGGGTTTCTTTGGCCGTTCCTTTAAACTCATTATGCTCGAAAAGCAAAGACTCCGTTTCTTCCACGTTATTTCCTGTAATATTCAAGAAACAAAACACATTGTAGTATATTCCGTGCTTTAATTACTCTAATTACGTACCTAAATTCGTTGCGTGCGTCGTCAGATAACACTCCCCTGTATCATGGATCCATTCAATAGCCTGTTTGGCTGACCTTTCAAACAAAACAAACTGTTGGCATTGATCAAGCCGTTTCTTTCGCTGAGTCCAATGCTCCAGCACTTTGTTCTCCTGACTAAGCAGTTTCTCTAAGATCGTCTTCACTCGCGATTCTTGATTACCGGTCCCATTGGGATAGTTGTAAAACTGCAAACTTCGGGTCGTATACTTAAGGAAAGTCTCGGCTGTCCTGCGCGCTAACGTACACGCTTTCAAGAAAGCTTCCTTCTGTTCCTGATGCTTGTTGATCAACTGCGAGATGGACGTGGCTTTATCAATACCCTGCGCTCCACTCGCGCACCAGTCTTCATCGCGCCGATATTCCTTCTCCAAACTGTCCAAAACCGTGCATACCTGCTCAGCTGTCTTGTAAAAGTTCAAACTTGCAGTTACCAATTTGTGGCGTTCCTCAGCGCAAGTTACCAGCTGCTGCCAGCGTTTCGTGACTTCCTCCGAAATATCTTTGATACTCGGCGGGTCGTAATGATTAGCGTTGATGAGTGCATCGGCTCTGTATTTGACTTGCACGGCTGAGGTGTGTGTCTTCTCAATTGCTACTTGGAACTGCTCGTGTTCCTTCTTAAGTTGCTCGGCATCCGCGAGTGAATTTGGTATTGTGAAGCTTGCCATAAGCATCGATTCCCCATTGCGGATCCAACTGATTACCTGATTAGCATCATTCTGGAATTGCCCGAGTTGAATACACTGTTCGAGTTTAATCCGCTTCAACTCCGCCATTTCCTCGAGATCCATTTCGCGCTCATGCAGAAACTCTAGTAAAACCTGCACTCGTGTTTGCGCGTTGTACTGCGCGTCAGCCATCACACAAATCCCCGATGTTTCAAACACCTGCACCAGTTCCTGTCCCTGTTGGAGCACCTGGAACGTTGTGTTTTGCATCTGACTGACAGACTCGTTGTGCAATCGCAGTGACTGCTCCGCCTTCGCAATGTCGCGCGTCAGCTCGAGATGCTGCAGCTCTTCCGACCACATTTCCAACTGTGAGGACACCTAAAATCAAGTAGCACTTTGTTTAAATCCATTCATGTAAACTTAAAACTTCGCAATTACCTCCAAAGCATCTCGCTCGAAAAGCCGCAATCGGAGACACATGTCCAAGCGAAGTTTACGCGCCGCCCAGAGTTCCTCCAGATCGCTACGTTGTTTCGAGAGGCGGTCGAGAGCCGCCTCCACCGCAGACACAGAACCCGTCGAGTCCATATCGCCAATTGTTCTGCAACAAAACAAATTATTAATCGGCGCATGTGCATGCGTTCTGGCAATAGTAATTACAGTTGGATGTGCCATGACGTGACATCCGATAAGATCTTGAAATATGAATTGAGGTACTGTTCGTTGTACTGTTAGAGTATGCCGACGCATAATGGACTCGTTATGAGTTATGACCGAAAGGAAAACTTCCTCGCAAATTATCATCACGTGCGCGTTGTGACATCAACGTTTATAAATTAATTTTTCAACATTCGCGCTTTTGTAACGGTAAGTGCAGCGACAAGACCAAAGCAGAGAAAATTCGTTACTCTATATATAGAAACTTCTCAACTTATTCATCATTCAACACATGTTGTTCTCCTCGACATTCATCACAATTTTAATGAATCTAAACTTCTGCTTTTCTTCTCTTGTCAATATCAAGCACAAATAAAAAGAAAACGTGTGTAGAAAATAAAATCTCTTCATCTGCGCTTATTTTTACCGACAGCCTGGTATTCTTCTAACCCAGATATTATTTGAAAGTCTAAACATATTTGCATTTCTCAATATCTCGGCAAATGCAACACATGTTCGTTGCATCCTTTCTTTTTATTTAATTAAACTTCACTATGCATAAAGACTCGGATCAAAACATTTTAATAAATCATCAGCGTCCCACATTTTAATAAAACTTTAATTTCATGCGAAGGTTACCACTGCATTGTGTTATGCGGGCTCTCACGTATTGTATTAAAATGTTTTATTTTTATTTTCCAGAATTAATAATAATTAATTATCCTTGACTAACCTGAGCTCTTGGAGTAAAGCTTCGCCTTGAGCGATGGTCGAAGCGCAAGCGTCCAAACTCTGATCGCGATGCTGTGCTGTTTGCTCCAGCAACACCTGAGTGGCTTCCAATCCTTCGGCGACGCTCTCGTCTGCTTGCAACTCTTGCCTCAACTCATCCACCCAGGTAGAGAGTTCTTTCTCGTGAGTGTAGAATAAAACAGCGAGATCCAAACGTCGTCGGCGCTGTTCCACACGTGCAGCAAATGAAGTCACGTGCGCCTCCAGCTCCTGTGCCACCGAGTAGATCTCATCCGGGTCGCATTCACCCGTGTGTGCTAACTCGTCGGCGGCGGCAAGCAGTTTATCCGCGTTTGTATACGTATTCTGTAAAAAATAAATAAACACAAAAATATTAACAACATGTCAGCGAGGTATATTGAGGCATTTAATACATAAATGCATTTCTTTGACGTGCATTGTAAACGTCCATCGCAGACGTAGAAAAATGCCTTTCAGAATGCGCCCACACGTGGACGGGGCCACCATTCAGAATCAGTTCTCGCGTTATATTCTTATTTATTGCCGACATACATCATCTGTTGCGAACATCCATTTATTTTTCAATTGATAGAGCGTCTCATTATTCCAGCGACGATCGATACGCAATCGAAAGTACGTACATATACGCGAGCACAGCCATTTGCGGCACATTAAGCACGTCCCGACAGACGCGGAATAAATCACGAACGTATATTATTGCAAGTCAAGTAGTCAACAACAGCCTCTCAACATATCATCAACTAAATATATTCCAAATGAAGTAAATTATGTTAAAATTTGTACATTTTGCCACAATAAAATGTCCAATCAGGATAAAAGCTCATTGTGTTTCTACAAATTGAGGTGCAAAAGTGGAACAAGAAAATATCCAATTTTGCAGCAATATTTTGCTGCATTTCTAAAAATAGCACAAAACATGGCACCGTGCGTTTTCACGCTTTATTTAATTATATGCACTTGGTTACGTCGCGCTGGGCTGCGTTCATGCGTTTCGCTGCACACGCTCCAATTTAGTCGCGTACGACTTCTAATTAGATTTACTTGCGGATGCAAAATTGTAATTGTTTAATTTCGGATGTAATTCCAGACGCAATCATCATAATAATATAGTTGAACAACAACAACAACAGCACCATCACTGGGGAAAAATATAATTAACAAAAATGTGATCATACAATATATGCGCAAATGTCCGTTAAATTAAGGGTTGGTTGGGGGTATGTTTGATGACACGTGCTTTCAACCCCACTAGCAATGACTTTATAATGCGTCGGTTAAAAAAACGCGTGTTTAAGTGGCAATTTCAGACAAATTACATATTTTTTTCTACATCATAAAAATAATTGAAATTAAAATTCTCCACTACGTGCACCCAAAACGAGACGTATTGAATTTCATTCCAGACATAAAGCAAAATGGGGAAAGATGAATATAAAGCAGTGTTTCGAGAGCGAGTGTGCTTAGCATGTGGAGATGTGGGGTTTCTCCCCCATTAAAAGAAGTAATACAAATAAAACTATTTAAGCGCTGTCCATAAAAAAATACACCCGAAACGCAACACACTCAATCTTTGAAGGAAGCACGCCGTCGAGCCGCAATAAATTTTGCTTGACAAGAATTTCTTTTTATCACATTAGACAATGTCGATGCACGTGTCCACGGCTGATTGTGAACTCAAGGAAGTGTTATAATTAAATAAAACACATCTGCACCCCAATAGTGGAGGAGACCTATCCTGAGGAGTGTTAGGCATCGCATAAATTGGATTACAATGTTGAGGGAGACAACGGTATCGATGATGAGGTGTCTTTTTGTCACAGCTGAATGGCTTCAACCAAAGAATTTTTGCAGCAACATTAAAAAACATTGTTTAAATAATGCAAAAAATGAATAAAAATTGATTTAAATTTGCTTCGATTTTTAAAATTTTACAAAAATCTCATTTTAGCTGTTATACCGTTAAGTACAACTGTCAAATAAATTAATAGTTAGATGAGGAATTTAATCCAGCATCTATTTCCATCTGACTCATAACTCTACTATCAGAACTTCGCAAGTAATTAATTGATAACTAAAACAATCGTGGTATTATTCTCGCACCATGAGTAAAGCTGTTGCAATCCTATTACTCTGTTTAAAAATATCTTCCCTTGTTGCTAACTCTCTTAAAGAATGACGTCACCACTCAATAGAAAGCAATTTTGTAGAAAACTTTTATTGACGCATATAACTATCATGGTTAAGTTATATTTACACAAGCAATGGCCATCATTCACCATCAAAAACGAATCTAAACATTTCATGCAAACATTCAGTGAATGCACGAGCCTGAGAGTCGAAGCATCTGATATTGATTGCCGGATTTGCGCGCCTAGACCGCCCGTCCCAGGGGAAGGTTCTCCCTTTCCGCCAGCCGACCGAAAGAACCCCGAGAGAAGCACAAAACGAAGAAAATCGCACCCATCGCTCCAAGGATATGAACTGCGTTGCGGAAGGTCAGAACAAACACAGGCGTGCGCGCTCGTACGCACAACTGCGAACCGCACATATTTCACTTGTTCATTACGTCTCCATATCGGGAGCTGCGGCTGTGACCAGCTTGCTTTACGGCCTTTTTGCGAGCACCAGCCGGCGGACGTTACAGAACGGAACTTGAGAGTAAACACTCCATTCCACTTTCTGGAAGTACCGCGCACCGAGCAAATTCTGTAACTTTATTACTGTTTATTGCCGGCCGGCGGCCACAAGTCCAAAATGAATGGCATGCAATGTTCGAATACTATGAGCAATGCGAGCGCGGTTTGAGAGCGCGACGAATTTCGGACATGCAGCACGCAATTAATCACTGTACGAATTCTCCGACAAATTGCCCACTTGAAGCAGCCAATCATACTTCCACAATTGGTTTGCATTCTCACATCTGCCTCAAACACAAATACAAATAAAATCTTTTGTTTTTATACACATTCTTTGCCGGGAGTAGGAAAAAAACATATTACATTTTAAATGTGCTCCGCGTACTTTCTGCCCTTTCTGGAAGCATGCACGGCCGAGCATTACATAAACCTCCTTTAATAAAAGGACTAAAAGCGGTTTTGTCAGCAAAACAGATGCATACTGTTCAGTCTTCAGGGAGAGCAAACGTAAGCATCAAGCGCAGCGCATTGTGAGTGAAACGTTCCCGTTTTGGGGCGTTTTTAGGGTGTCTCGTGAATGAGAGAGTGTATGTGTGGTGTGCATGCACGCATTCAAAGAATGCCTCATTTCATCACGCCATCATTTTCATCACGAGTGCGTGTAGGTGGTGTGCGCTCGTGCAGTTATCTAGATGCCAAACGACCTCGCAACGTCGAGTTAATCTCCTGTTTCTGAACCACTTCATTCAACATTGAGGGTGGTCATCGCAAGACTACCTTATTACCTATTCTAAAGGGCGTCTTCAGTGCCCAAGCCAAAAATGAGTTGATCTTAGTCATCAGATGACTATAAAGGGAGAGTGACATCAGGATTAAAGCACAGACGAGACAGAAACTACTAATGTTGATTACTATTTAGAAAAATTGGCTAAAATGCTTAGAAATTGTTGTCTTATTGTTGCATGTTTAGTATAAAACAAAGTTTTTCTCTTTTTCTCTTCGAAATTTGCTCTCTATTCGCAATCAAACAACTCCAAAGTAATAAAAATCAACAACTTCAGTTGATGTAGCATGTGCCCTTAACTTACCATGCACTATATTACAATAAACGTAATAAAAATGTAAATTATATCACAATATACAAGAATTTATTCCTTGCTATTGATGCCCAATGTTGCCCGGTTGCAACAAACATCTTGCAGTCTGCGAGTTTTCGTAGAAAGAATGTGAAGAATGTGGAGCAACTCCAATTGAAAAACGCCCGCGTAAAGAATCAAATAAAACGCTCAGAAATACTTGAATCGAACAGGATATTACGAAATGCTAAAAACTACAGAAGCAGCTAAACAATTGAACAAATCAAGAAATTCCAGACATAGAACTTCCATTATGCTTTGCATCAAGTTCTTCCTACCTAATAATTATGCAATACATTATTATAATTTAATATTGTTGAAGTTGTGCACGGTCAAGCATCAAATATAATGTCAACGTATTCTCACAAAACTATTACAAAACAAGTTATAAAACGTACTCATTTGTTGAATTGTACTATAATTGAATAATGTAATATAAAATAAAATTATATTTTACATCATTGCACAAACTGTATTGATTTAAATGTTCTACGCAACGTGACATTTTCGATATTATGCGTATGATAAAATCACCGAATGATGCAAATTTTCCAAAAGCATTGTGTTCGTATCCGCCGATGACATGTCGATGACAGACGCGATCGTGAAAAGCGATACGCGCCAAGGAAATGAAAGAAAATCGTTATATGGCATCGGCACAAGGGGCACCTCGTTACTGTAATAGGATTGCGATTGCAACTTTCTACTTAGCGACAGCACCATAAAAGACAATAAAACACGTTAAGACGTAAGGCATACGCATTAAAGCGATTAAAACCGTTATTTTCGTCTTTTTGCGCAGAAAAAGACTACAACAAATTTATTATAATCGTTTGGTCACTGCCTAACTGTCACAGCAACAAATTCAATTTGCGTCTATATTTTATTGATTTTCTATTTTCTAATTCATTAGTTTCAAGTTTCGACCCGGCAATTTGTCTGTGAATTGAGTGACTATTGAATGAAATTCAGTTTCACAGCTGCACCGTGTTCCATTCATGTGGACATTTAAATTTAAATAAAATCGTTGCGTGCGCGCTGCTGCAAGTGCGTGTTGACTGCCCACGCAGTATTTTCAACTTTATGTGCTATAAGAATTTACACCACACATACATACGCAAACACACACTGTCGATTCTTTAGTGGCACATTAAGATTTGTTTATAAACTTTGCATCCGAAACACTCTTAGCTCTCTTATAGTATATGAAGTCGCAAGTTGTAACTTTAGTGCATTAAAAGCCATACTTTGCGGTTGGCGGCACGAAATATCGAAGAAGTAAGTCAAAAGTGAGCCAAAGCAAACGACTGTGCTCCACACATCGTACCGTTACTTCCGCCATATAAACCCAGCGCCGCGAACCTAGATTTCTAATTTCATTCATTCGCCATGCAGCAAAACGCAAGCCGATAAATAAAACAAAGCCGGCCGAACGTACGCACGGCGCAATATTTGATTCTCGCCGAGTGATATTAGAAATACATTTGTCGGAGGAACTAGCCGACTTGCAAAACAATTGAAAATGCATGTGAGGTAACAACATATCAAATCGAAACGAAACGCATAAAAACTGGCATACACTGTTCATGCAATCTGATTTATGATCTTTCAAGACGTCGAAAACAAAAGTTGCCAATTGGCAAACAATGAATTCATGATTAATTTTCATCATAATGTTATTACCCAGCAATAAAACGCAAATAAACAAACAATAAGCGATGTAAAACGCACTCAAGTAGAAATGAATTTTGTATTTAATTAAATATTATTGTATATGGAATAAATGACATTATTACAAATTAAATGCATTTCTTCTTTAATGGTAATAATTACTAAGTAAAACGCAGTACTATTATTGCTAAAACAACGAATTTCTTAAAAGGAGATTGAAAATAAAATTTTATACTCGTATCAAGCTAATATTTGTTTCTTATGGCAGGAAAAGGAAATTGTTTAATTATCTGAAATGACTGCAATAATTTTTTCCTTAAAAGCACAAAAATAAAATTTCCTTTCTTTGCTTTCATTTTCCTTAAAAAGCACTACACTAATAAATATAAATATGATATATCTCTACAAAGATAAATATTTTAAATGGCTATATGATAAGAAAAAGTTAAAAATTACCTCGCACGCTCAAAGTAACTTTGTTCCTTTTTTCAGTTTTTCCTTCCTCGAGTTCGTAATCCAAATCCATAAAACGTAATTTATAGCAGTCCCTTCCAAACGCGACTTTTCACTGTATTTTCACTCTACTATCGCAATTCGTAACGCGTGCGCGCATTTTGTGTGCGCGGTAAGAAATTAAAACTTCTTCGCAGTGGTGTGTGGTAAATTTCCCGCAAACACGTAATATTCTAATCTGGCGTGCGTCGGCACGCAGTCCAGTCCATCGAAATCCTTCGTCTATAGTCCTTTCACCCCTTTTATATTTGGCAACCGTAAAAAAAGTCACAGTCGTTGACACGTAATGCAGTACGCGAGTGATTATTGTTATTACCTCAATGGACGCGAAACTTTTTCTCCGGCGATTCCAACACGTTGCAGATGTTGTTATTGTTGTTGACAAAAACGCGATGTGGAAATTTGCGCAAATTACTTCACTGTAAACGAGTATGAGTCGAACTCGTCGTGTTGCATGCTAACCATTCTTGTGCTCGCACGCGTGCCACTCGCACACGACTAATACTTCTCGAGCCTCGATTACTCGAAGCGCGCTTGTTTGGTTCCGCGGATTCTTCGCGCGCATGCGCACTTCGCATCTGCATGCATTTACGACTTTATTGTTCATTTTCATTAAACAATAATCGCTTCTTTAACTTTTATACTGCCAGCGAGCATAAACGCTTTGTAACTAATGCTCACAACTGCTATTTATATTAATGCGCTGCTTAATGTAGCGAAGGAGAGTGTTTTCTTTGAAAAATCGAAATTTAATCGACGCCTTGCAAAGAGAAAATCGACATTATCAACGCCTTTAACAACTAAATAACTTAATAACAACAAAAGCATTATAATCATAACTAATTCATGATTGTAGATAAAGTTAATTTGTATACGTTTTGTTTGGCGGTGTTCTTTTGTTCCACGCAATGTGACTGACAATGATGGCGGCCGAGGCAGAGACAGGCAAATAACATAATTGATGTTTTAATTTAAATGGATTTAAATGGATCGAAATTGTGAAAGGACGAGGGTCGACGTCTACACGCAACACACGCAGACGCTTCTAATAAAAACTAGAGTCAAAGGTCTTGATATCTTGATAATTCAACCCAATGCAAAATATTTGACCCGGACAATTTATACCAAAGTAAAAAATAAAGTAGAAAAAGTTTTAAATTGCATTTCACGTCTCAAATTACAAATTTTCACACTATATTGCAATTTGATCCTAAAACCTCAACTTTGTTTCATTAAGAAGAAAAAACTAATCACTGTATTGGCTATACGGGCATTGATTTACCAATTATCTCAAATTACGACGTAAAACGCAGCACGATCAAATGACCCTTGTCGACGCAATAAAGCGCACTAATTACGAACTTTTTTCATCATCATCATCATCACGCGCTGAAAGTCACGAGTCGCGCGCGCGCGCCAAGACGATAATCGCCTGCTTAATTAATTAAGCAGGCATCCACCTCCTAAAGCACCTTTTTCTTATGCTGGTGGCGCTCGTTTAGTGTCTTCTGCGAGCGCAATCACATCGCGCGTATCGCGCGAAACTTTTGCGTGAATTATCGCCTTAATTTGTTAGTTTCAAACCGACGCGGCTAGTCTATGCGCTACAACCTACAACGGCCGGCTATCTGCTATAAATAAACGGAGATAATAGACCTTTGTGCGTTTTGCTTCAACCTCCAACCAGCCACTAACAAGCCACAACTTACTATGCTTTGCTTCCAATTCCAAGTTTTGCACTCTGACTCACTGCCCAGGCATCCGGGCATACGGTCAGCTTTCACGCCGGCAATATTTTGAGTTTTTTTTTAATTAATTAACGTTATTACAATCAGTTTTTTTCGACGATTTTCGATAACGAAGAAAAACTAGGTAAACAAAAATTCGTTGGTGCGAGTTAGCAACCTTGAATTGTTTTCACAAAATGTAGGCATGTAGGTATGCCGTCGCGTTTATGCCGGCATAAATAAATAATTAAAAGTAAACCACGGTAGATAAAAGCAATAATTTTATGTATAATGTCATTTGGCAACTTAAAAATGTAAAAATGGAAATTTTATGTTTCTACATACACAGTCAATGTAATTAATAATACATGTACGTATTTACTTAAATTTCCAAGTGATACCTAATACTTTACCTAATGGATTTTAACCCTAATGAAGCAAATGTAAACAAAGCAGACCACACACAAGCGCACACGATGCAAGTGTGCCTCAAAACTGCAATTAAACTGATTTCAGTTTACGCATTTCACGATTCTCTTGTTGACTGATTAGCGATGACACTGATGACTATTAGTTAACAGCCAACAGACCATTACGAGCACAAATATGCACGCAGTTAACGATTCGTCGAATATTGTTTGTCCGCCGCTTCAACTTACAAAGCGCGCGCTATTTTCCGTCAACTCGATGAGTTACTCAGCAAACAACACTGTGGCGTTGATGATGCGATAAAATCGCAGGAAGTAGTTGCACCCAGTTTTTCACACATTTATTGTCGACGTTTAAATTTAAGAAACTCTTACTCCGCATAATAGAATGCAAATTGGAGGGTTGCGCGAGTGTTAAGAAACTCAAAAGAAATCATAAACGTTGGGGGAAATTCTAACAAATATTTGCTCATTATTTTTTGCTTTTATGTCTATTTACTGAATTATAATAATGACTTACCAAAATAAACCGTCTGATTTGTGCACTTTTATTACGCAGACAATAAATGATAAAACTTCACATCAAATCCGCATCTTCTCAGCATTTTGCAATTTCGTTTCGAAACCAGCCGACAGCACAAAAAAAAACGAAACATCTGATCCCGATGCGAACAAAAGGGGGTTGTTGGCTGTTTGATGTAAAGATAAATGCACGCGTTTCATCATGTGATAGAAAGGGGATTTTCAACCACGTCGCTTTGGTTTACGCACTCGAATCGCGACACAAACGCGCAGTATCGCGCACCATCAGCGAACTAGGTATCGACGAGCCGCGAGTAGGTACCAACCGTACTTGCACTTGTGTATGATGGTTTGAAAATAAGCCCCGCCAACCGGGCGCATGAGAGGGTGAATATCGGAATATAAAGTCGGCCTGTCTCGAGTTGAAGGCGAGCCGTTTGTCAGACTTACAGTCTTCAGCGTTTGATGGATAAGGTAATGAATATTTCAAGTGGCATTGTGCGCAACAATGTCTACAGGCAAACGTATTCACCCATGTTTAGAGTTTACAGCCGTTTCAAGTAAAAAACAACGCTAATCATTTCGAGGCCTACGCGGGGAAAAAGGAGAGAAAAAAAAAACACATACCTGTGCTACGTTTTCGAAGTGTTCGTGGCTTTTCTGATAGACCCGCGCTTTTTGTAAGTTACGTCCGATTCCAGTGTTTTTACGTATAAAGACTTCACCATGATTCGCCAACCAATCCAGCACCTGCAAAATATTTACAAAATTCATAAGAAAATCATAATTATAAAATGATTTTATCGCATTTACCTGTTTAACATCTTCCTGAAACAGTCGCAGTGCAAGCCGCTGGTGTAATTTAATCTTCTTCGCGTGCCACTTCTGCTCCAACGCTCTGTGATGATTCAGAATTTGATGAATCACAGCCAGGACATGACTAGCACCTTCGCTGTAGTCGGCTGCCGGATTACCGCCAGGACGAGCTTCATAATTTGCATCGCTCTAAACACATCAGAGATAATAATTTAAGAAATTATTTTTTTCTAAATTACATTTATAAAAAATTCTTTCAAAAATAAGAGAAAGGATAGTTACATGTTTTCGTTCGGTTCCAGGCTGATTGCAGACTTGCACCAAGTGATCTAACTGATAAAGCAGCTTTTTGCTCGTGCTATGTACCTGTTAGAAAACCAACACCTCATTAGTGAGTGGTTCCATAAACAAATTATCATTACATCAAATGACAGCAGTGATTTAATGACCAGCGTCCGTAACCTAAAGTAATGATAGCCACAAAGAAAGTTATGCGATGCATTATTATGAAGAAGTTGGAATACGGCACGTAAACAATCAAAAACGAGAAGAATATGTTGAGTTGAGTGGTTTAAAATGTTTGAGCATTAGTGGAAACCCGCGTAGAACCTGCACCAGAACTGAAATGGTAAAATTTGCGATAATTACGTTCGACATAATCGAATTCCGATCGGAATTATTGATCTGCGATTCTGGTAAGTTATGGCACACTTGTAGCATCACATCAAGGCCGTTTAACAAAGCCTGGTAGGAATTATAAACCTAAGAGAAAACATTGAACATCTAAAATTTCTAAAAGCAAACAACAAAAACGCGCCGAGTGCATTACGAATTTACCTCGGTGTACGCCTGACACATCGACTCGTAGAGATTCTGATGTTGATGAATTGAATTCTCCAAGTGCATAATCTCCGAAGGTATATTACTGTTCTCACACGCGTTGTTCCACGCGGGTACATTATCGACATACTGCTCAGCCTTATGGTGAAAAATAACACTCAACGCTAAGACATTAGTACGCTCGTCTAGACCAGCAGCGAAATCCTTCCACGTGCGATCTAAACGACCAGCCACCGTACGGATGTGTCCGCCGGCATAATGACCACTTTCAATCAATCGCGACGCTACCGACAGGATGCGATTTATGTTCACGTAGACATTCATCGAGCTCATCGTAAAATGCTGGTGTTCCTCCTGCAATTGCTTCGCCAGCTGGTAAGTGTGACCGATCTCCACGTAATTCAGCAAGAACACGTCGCGATTGTGACAGATCCAATCAAACATCTAAAAAAAAACGCACAAATAAAACAATTATTGCAACTAAAATGGCAATAAATTAAATTCCTCTACCTTTTCACAATCTTGTTCAAACAATCTCAGCTGAAAGCACTGATCCAATTTGATTTTCTTATGATGCCATAGCTGTAGAAGATTTTGATGTGATGTGTGCACCGCGTCGAGATTTTGCAGAACAAGATTCTTGACGTCCGTGTCGGTTGCGCTGCTGCACGGCGATTCGGCATCGCGATTAGCGTCACCCTGACCCGTGTCGTTACCGCAAATCTTTTGCAATAAGCTACGACCTGAAAGCGCAACACAATACCATACATTACCACAAACAATTTACTTTAATGTTTGGTTTACTTTAGCAAACCAGTTTTTATTCAATCATTACCTAACAAATCAACGTCTTCAAGTGGCACCTTTTTGATTTTATTCTTCATCTCATTGTGCAGATCAATTTTGTGTTTTGCACCGCTCACATCATCCGCAAAATCATTGCGTGCGAGATCCTCCTGCAGGTCGTCCAGACGATCGAGCAAATCAGCCGCCTGCCATGAAAACTCCTCCACCGCCAGCCGGGTTTCCAACCAGTTTGAGTGATCGTAGCTGAGCGTGCCTTCGAGATCGGAGGTGAGTTGTGAGGTATCTATTATTTTAGGCAAGGCTTCCAAACTTATCATATTTGTCTACAACAAAAACCACAAGTTAAAGCATCATCAATCACGTTTTATGCGAATATATCTATACCTCAAATTTGTACTTGTGTGAGCCCAAAGACGTGCGCTGCTTCTGCCAGAAATTATCGGGCTTAACAATTAAGGCTTGGTGGACGACGCCGGGTGGGAAATGCTCGTGCAACGCTTTCAAAATCGGTTTCACAGTCGACCAGGTAGCGCCGCGCATATCCACCAGCACGGTGAAACCCAACGAACGTGCCTCATCACTGCAAACGAATAAATATAAGCATTAAATTATCACAAGTGATTGTTGTGTTTCGTGTATCATGTCATATCAGTGTGGTAATGTATACCACCTACTTTCTAAAGATTGATTGCGTTTTGTTGCAGCGGGCGCGGTCGATTACTGCCGTGAGAAATCGCCCAAGAAGAAAGAAACAACTACAAAGCAGATGATGCAGAAACAATTCCTAGATTTCCCACAGAACCTATCGATAACTTACACTTCCCCGGCCCAGTTGTTAAATAAATGTATCGTATTTCAAGCTAACTTATTTGTTATTGAAATGGTGCATAAAATTTTCCAACAACATCGCAATAAAATCGACTTTTTGGCCCAAATTTCGATAAAATATAAGTTTCTAGCTACCTTACGTGATTTATTATCACTCATTCACCCCTCCTCGATTTGATTCTGCGCCAATATAGAATAGGAAAAGCCTGGCATGGCAAAAGAAAACTTTTCAAGTGCTTGTCGTTGTTTGTGCTTGGCTCCAGCTTATCACAGCGTCATAGAATTCAATTACAGAATGAAAGAAACATCGCTGGCATGAAAATGAAGTTTATACACTACGCAAGCCATATTTAATGCGGTGTGTGAGTGTAGAGTGTGGTCGTAATATGCAAGACAGCAAGAAGTTGCTTCCGTCTCCTTAGGCGACGACGAGTTGCATGCATTTCTGGAAGTGGAGCACACGAGTGCGGGATGAACAAGTTGCGTCCTCAAAGCAACCCACCTAGAGTAGTAGGCGAAGAGCTTTTAAGCGTTGTAAGTGCCACTCGTTGGATTTAATTAGAGATGTACTCGCATAAAAGACGACGGGACGCGAGATGGTAAACAAATTAAGTTAGATTTTCAAAAATCTGTTTTTCCCGCAGACTCCAAACTTTACGATAAGTGTAGATTGAAAAGTTTTTCGTAAATCCCTTCGGTAAATACACAATTTTCGCACGAATTTGACGCAGTAAACAGGAATAACGCTCCCGAAAAGGGGGAGAAAAGGTCGAATTATCTGCGTTCTACATCTCCTACTTATAACGTCATAACCCACCCGCCCAGCGATGTGATCCGCGTCGGGATAGACACGAAAATACGATTTTTTTTCATCCGCCGACTGTAATCTTGTTTCTATTCCCATCACGAGAGCGCCAAGAGTAGATTTGGCACAAAGCACCAACTCTGACATTTCCCGCACATCCAAAAGCGCCCCATTCGCAGTATAAACAACACTAAACGCAAAATCAACAACAAGAACGAACACATCCGGCAATAGCAAAAATATCTAAAACACATTTATATCATCAGTTATGAACTCCAAATGTTGTTTTCGACAGCAGCAAAGTTTTAGCGTGAGTTGATAACAAGCCTGACCTCGAAAGAATTGCCAAGGGAATAATGTAGAACTTTCCGAGCGGCGCAAATTATGCAAATCGGTAGCGTGGAACAGTTATTTCAGTTAAGTTGAGTTGAAGCTCTACTCACTTGGGTATGGCCAAAAGGTACTGCAGCAGGCGCTTGTAATCCTCGGGCTTGGCGCGCTCGCGTCTTGGGCTAGCTGGGAAAGAAAGCACAGGCCCACCACGACGATCCCTGCCGCCGGTAAGCACCACCAGCCGTTCCTGCAACAGCGGCATCAGCTCCAATGCGCGTTGTCCGTCCATTCTGACGTTTCCTGCAACACACAGCACAAAAAACAATTACTAAAACAACCAAAACTCCACATAAAAACGGGAAACAATTAAATGATTACACTAAACTAAATTGCCGCCATCTATTCATCAAGATAGGGTGTAATAAATAGATGCTAGATGTACTTTGTAGTTGATGATGAGAGATGGGTCACATAACGAAATTACCGTACGGACTCGACGAGCAAGTGGCGCTTGTGCTGATGTGACGCATACGCGGCTTCATCGCGCGAGTGTTACAGCAGGAAGCCGCCGCCACCATCGCGGCAGCCGCCTCCGCTTCGACAGAGTAGTGCCAGCTGTGCGGTCGGCGCTGCCGCCAAAGGAGACTACGCCGACTGGGGTGAGTTGCACCGCTGCCTCCACCACCACCACTAGCATCACCACTACCAACAATACCACCACCACTAACAGAAGCAGTGGGATGCACGTCCGCCGCTCCACTGCAGCCGGCCATGCCGCCGTCCAATTTAATCGCAGCGCGTTATTGCAGCCGCGCGCCGCATTTCACGTGGTCTGCATTTGTACAAGAGATAAAAGATAATGCGAGCCGCCATTGAGAGACATCCAACAACAACAACAACAAACATTCCAACATCCAACAAAACTAAACACACAAAAAAGATTCAAGTATAACAAATTCAATGAAGCACAAAGTGGAATAAACTGCGAAAAATTCAATTTCCTGCCATTTCTGCCGTCAGATAGCGGTCTTCATTCAATTTATTAACAATGATCGCAAGAGTCTATACGAAACTGTCATTTCCAAACCGGATACTATAATGGAACATCAACAACCAGCCACGTAACGAAAACCAATAATGAGTTTAATGCAGAATAGATTGCGTATATAACATGATATTTTTATGAATAAACTTGTGAAAATTGAAAATTCCACTACGCATACAACTAATTTAACACATGAGCACACCATTGGAGGCAGCCGCGTAACATAAACCCCTTTTAATATGCGAAACATGTTTAATATTGAAACACTCAACTGCTGTTCGCGTGTTCTGCACCGTGTAACGTTTCATTAAATTTCGTTATGTTTAATTTTATTGTATTCGGCGCTCGCGTTTAATAAATTGTCTTTCCTCAGTCGTCCCAAAATGAAATTATTAATTAAAAGACTACATACGTACATTGTAGCGCTGTGAGCGAACGTATAAAGTAAACTGATAATAAAACGTAAATGAATATTAAATTTTAATTTTACGAAGCGCGTGTAAACAAACTTTATTGTAATAAAAAGCATCCAGTAAAGACGTTAAAATCTACTTTACTACTACTGGGTTTATATTTTTTTTTTGTGTTCGATTTGTAATTTTGCGCGTGTTGTCTTGAATGCTCGCCTACTGTTCCATTTCACATGCCGGCGAATATTTCTCATGCAATTACGTCGCCCGCATTTCTCATTCCGACGATTTCCGTTAAACCGCGCGCGAACCGCTACGCAGATAGAACAACGAGAGGCGGTTTCAGGCGCAAAGAGATAAAAGTGTCGAAGAGACTCCAAATGCATTACAACTACATGCAGCGGCGGTGGAATATGATTATTAAACGCCGTTACCGCCTTATTATCTTAGCGCAAAAAGAGGGCAGTTATTGCCTAGATGGTTACGCTTGCGCCTCAACTACTTTTTCCTCGACTGCAAACTGCTGATTACAGAAATAATAATATTATTTCTTTTCTACTGTAGTTTCCGCCGTGTTTTTCGCTTTAGTTTTATTGTAAAATGTGCGTTTTTTCTGCTTTTCAAATCTAATGCGATGCAATTGTGCCGCGTGAATTTTTTTATATTTAAGTAGGATTTTTGTCATTTGCATTTTGCAACAGGTGCGATTTGCTAATTAGATATCCGAGTCGCTCGACGTCGGAGAACGACATTTCATCACCGAGAGAGACCATCCGCTGTTTAATTAAACATCGATTTGGGTAATTTACAGTGCACATCAAGTCACAATTTTAATAATGATGATGAAAATGAGTAAAATATGAAATATTTATGAAATTTTGCATTTCTGCTGTTGCATATTCAAATTACTATCAAAACAATCAACTATTAATTAATTTCTATGCAATATATTACTACAACACATTAGAAAATCAATATAATAGTTTTGTAATTAAATATTTTGATACAGGCTGTATAAATATCGTTAATGAGTTTTCAGATTGCTAATTATAATTGTTGCATATCTCGATCGCTATTTCAATGTAAATCATTTACCAAATAATGCATTCAACCAGCAATTACCAATGTTTTGTTTCGACGAGGCAAACGTTATTTAATTTTCCAATATTTATACCTCTCTGTTAATGGCATATATGTGTAAATACTTGCCACTGGCAATAAAACAAATGTAGAAATAAAATCACAGCAATAAAAGTGCACTTTAATCGCAGGTAGAGGGACCTAAACCAACATCCACGCGATAAATTCAAGCGTAATATCGAAAACAACGAACAAACCTATTAAACATTAAAGGATAACCTCGCGCCATTAATCAGTAAAATGCGTTTTAAACGTCCGCGGCCTAGCGACTCCACCACCCCCAAACACAACGACGTCATCAAACACGCAATCAATAATAATAAATAGATAAACAGCGCATTTTAGGACGATTGCGTCGGGCAGACCAATTACCCTTTCGATGTAATTCATAGGCCACGGTTAAATGAAGATTAACCCCGTCGGTTTACAGTTTGGTCATTTACGTCATTCATTCCCAAACTGTCCAAACACAAAGCCCCATTATCTGCGCCGATGGCAGCTATAAAAATCATGAATATTGATTAATGATTAACATTTGATGACTTTTAATTAAAACAACATTTACGTTAAAAGTTAAACAATTCACAGCGCGAAATTAAAGTGCCAGAAACACGCACACATCACGTACAAACGCTACACGTGCCATGTTGTCTCGGAATGTCCGGGGAAAAATGTTATACGCACGCAAATTACGACCCGCCCCGGTTGACACCCGCACCGAAAAGTTGGAAGCCGTGTTACAGCCGTTACGCCTCCTCTGCGGAGCTAACTACTCCGAGTAATTGCCGGTGAATTTATCGCTTTTCGGCGTGTGAACGTCCAATGTCGCACAATGTTCAGCAAGTATAAATGATAATCACTTCGGGAAGGCCTGGACTGCTAGAAATATCTCCAGCTTGTACGCACGTATGTTCGCGACTTGTTACCGACTTTACAACTTCCCTTTTCATTCCGGGGGATTATGTGTCACATATGTTGTAATTTCTATGGGAAATGCAAATTTTTAATTAATGCGAAACGATCATAAAGGGTTTTACAGAAGGATTTTATGGAATTATATTTTTATATTCGCAAGGTTCTAATTTGACGCGTGAGTTATTTTTGTAGTTACGGTATCATTATTTTTAATTAATTGTTCAATAAGTAATGAACTTATAAAGAGTATTTCTTGAAAAATCTATTTAGTGTTAAATTATGTCTTATAAAAGTAAAAAAATAATTTATCGCAAGACTATAACCAAAGTTTCAAATGAATTTGTGTAAAAAAACAATTTTTTTTTCTTAAAATCAACTTTAATTATTAATAACATTATAACCAATTTCCTAATAAATTTATCCGGTAAGATAGTAATAGATAGATAGTAAGATAGATAGTAAGTAAGATAGAGAATTTCATTCCCAAAATATTTCCACAAGAATTATACTTTTAAGACTAATAGTTTTTGAATAATTCAAAAATATCTAGGAAATATTAACAAAAATTCTCACGACATGTAAAGACTGTAGCCACGATGACTACAACTCAACTTTAATGAGTGATCTGCATGAAATTTAGTAGTTAAAAACAAAATAATTTCTACACGATAAAAATAAAAAAGTCCTAGCCACCTCTCTACGCATTTGTTCCAAAAACTTCAAATCCTAGATAAACATCTCAGTTTTGTTTTTCTTTCGTTGATTTATCATCCTTAATCTCAGCATGTGGATTAAGTAAAATTTAATGAAGCGTTATGTTCGTTAACGGGCGCCACGCGTAATTATACCGATCTCGTACTAAACGACTAAGTGCACAGCGATTAAGCAAATATTTATGTCATTATATAAACAGTCCGCGCAGAGCGAGCGCAGCAGATGAAAAGATTAGCTCGAATGCATTTGAATGTGACGTGTGCTTCAGGTTGCGTTTAAATTTATACCTACGCATACGTGCAATACAAAGAAAGGACGCGCGTAAAAATAGCACAAAATGAAAACTCGGAAAACGCGGGGATTTTATTTTATATTTATATAGTCTCGCGTGAAACAACGCCTTTTCAGCGCGCAGATACCGAGGATGAAAAATTGACTCGACAAAGTATCCAAACATAAATTACAATTACTTCTGGGCTTTTTGTTTGAACATGAAATGAAATATTTGATTTCGCCCTTGACCTTTGACAAAAAACAAACGGCGCACTTGAACACTGTACGCAAAATTAATTAAATTTTCAGCGTTCCGGCGCGATTTTTTTTAATTCCACGTTAATATGAAAATAATCCGCGACGATTTATTGATTCGCCTCTCCGCTGAGAAAAATAACACACAATAACCGGCAAACATTACGCATACTATTCGACAAAGCACTCCCCTTTGTGTGCTCACTGCCGACGCCCGGCGCTGAGCAATTTTTGATAAAAAATTAAAACATTGAACACAACAAAGCGAAAATGAAACGAAATGTACGCGCGCGTATTCTCGGTGGGGCTCTCCTCTCGTGTGTGGGTTATTAGACTGAATTAATAAATGAAAATGGGAATGGAATGCGTTTTTCACCCTCACACAACGCGCTACCAACCCTTTTTTCCTCTTTTTTCCAAACCCGACAAATGAAAACAGAGCTGAACAAATGCTCGAGATTACATTGCGTAATTTTCTCCAGGCACGCAAAACAAAAAATTACTTATCACTTAGGTACACATGTATTATAAGATTATGTTGATGAGAGTGGGAATGAGGGTGAATATTAAAGTCTGATACATCTACGTTTATTTATAAGTATATCAAATGATTTTTGATGAAACAACGACGTTAAGCACAAACATTCTTCGAAAAAAACAAAACAAAAAACCTCCTACCACTTCGTTCCACAACTTTTCAGAAGTCAGCGGCTGAAGTTTAAGATTGAATTATGCAAAGCAGAAGCTCAACAGCATGGAAACAACATGAAAGAGCAGCAGCAGCAGCACACAGCGAGATTTTTTGCGGTTAATTCCAACAATTTAAACGAACATGCCAACTTTTACATTTTTGCAATTCGTGTGTCGACGCAATCGCCTGCTGCAGAGGGAGGAAGTTGCTCTAGCGAGGCACGCACATTTTTAAAGAGGGGCGGCACTAGGTAGATAATAACCAAACTTATTAGATATTATTAAAATTGCGTGTTGTGGTGCACTGGGAGTAAATGTAACTGGCCGCCTTTTGCAGTATCTGCGTACTAACTAACTAACTGGTATACTAAGGATCCAGGACGATGTCAGGCGACGATGTGGCCATACGGTCAAAGGGCCGGGTGGTTGGCTCGCACAAAGCGACTTCCGTCGTCGTCGTCGTCTCAAAAAGGAAGTACGCGACTGCTGGTCGGGGCGAGCGCGAGGCGAGACGCCCGATATCGGCGTTTGCGCGCGGCGCAGACGCCGCGAGAAAGAGCCTCCACCAGCGCCGCCACCATCACCACCACCACCATGCCCACACGTGTATCCTGCGTGCGGCAATTGGACTTTGTGCTTGATACCCGTTCGCAAATTGTCAGCGAGTTACTCGTTGTGTTATTCGTGTGTAATCGTGTCACAATGTCGGAACGCTCCCGAGGGAATTGCTGCTTTCTTCAGTCAACATCCGAATGGGATCTCTTTAAATGTCAAAGAGCAGGGGTGTTTTATATCCCAAACATCAACACGGAATGTTATTTTGTTTTGTTTTTTACTTTCTTTACTTTTGGGTAAAGTTTAGTTAGTTGTACGTCACCGCCGACGGAATCAATGTTACATCGGCATTGTTCAAGGTCGCCTCCGGTGGCGGTTTTTCAGCGGGCGCAATGCACGAATCGATACTCGCCCGCGTTGTTATTACGTCTTTGGGCGGCCGTGACAGGGACGCATGCGACGCATTAAAAGCCAACTATCGCATGTCATGGATGCAACAATAAGTCTTGTTGTACAACAAAAGGACGTTCGAGACATTGAGCACGCGTCGAATTTATTTATAGCAATCTATAACGACACTTGCGACAGTTTAAACTGACACAAATTTCATTTCGAGAGACTAAAGACGATATAATCGATAAACCTAAATATCCACTAGAACTAACTCAAGGATAACAACCAGGATAAACCGCAAGCAATAAATTTTAAAATTTTAAATGTTGTGTGATTTAAATGTAAAAATTTAATTCAATCAATGCGCAAACACTGCTCAAACATTTACCTATAATCCAATTTGCATCCAAATGTCCTCCACAGATTTCAATCCCGCATTGGAGCATGTGTGCCTCATGTGTATGCGGGCGTAATTTGTAACACAAAAGGATTAAACCTCCAAGCGCGCATTGAAGTTGCGACAGGACGAAACAGGACGACGCGTGCGATAGCCCGTAATTCCCGATACTCGCTTTGTGCAATCCGCCGGTCCTTTCGCCGGCGCGCAAAATCCGCCTTCGGATTAGCGAGCAACCCAATCAAAATGCATGGAATCGTTGATTAACAGACTGGCTATACGGCATAAAACGTCAATTTGCTATCGTTAATTGGATTCATAACTTCGTTAGCGACCGCTTTACGTAAACCTTTTCGTTTTGCGACGAGGGGGAATATTTAGTTGGGTGGATATTATTGCGAAGGCGAACAGAAATCAAGCTTTGAATATTGAGTAGGTAGCTGCTACAGCAATTAAACAATTTAAGTGGAAAAATTTGGTTATTTTAAGACTTACCACTTAATGTTTCAGTGAACGTCAGATAAACGTTTGCCTCCTCTTATTGTTCTGACATCGATATTTACATTTACGTAAGTACATCTGAAACAAAGAAAAGAAACACGAAATTAGGTTATTTTTTCTTCGAAGTTTTTTGTTGGAAATTTAAGCATTACAGCCAGAATAAACAATCTAATTATAAACAAAGTTTATTTTAACTTAAATGCATCGCACACGTCAGTTCCCGTCGAAATTTCCCGTTTATATTGCAAATTGTAGCAATTTCAATATTACCTTTAAAATGTAATGTACACAATTACACTTCGAAAACACGTCATTGATTGTTTTATTGCTCTGAACCAATATTAACCGTTTAAACATAAAAACATGTTACTAAAGCACGAAAATATTTGCATTCGTTGAAACAAAAGCGTGAATCCCTTTCAGAAATTTGTTAACCACCTATTTTCCACACGGTCGACTACAAATTTCAACGCGTCACAAACAAAAACAGAAAATAAAAACCGACAGACATCGGCAAAAACAATCGCGTTACGTCACCGACAATAGAAAAACTTCAGCACTGCGTTCATTACGCGTACCTACTAATTCGTCACAACTTGTTACCACTCGTTACCGGCAACACGTTTTGTTCGCTCATCATCGAAGCGATACGGAAAACTGCGAAACGAGAAGACAATGAATGGTTTCACAGTTTACTGCACGTATTGTCCGAAAGCGTTGGCGTCGATAAGAAGAAAAAAAACCGGGAGAGAGAAAAAAAACGCAAATGCTGCAAAGAGCAGCAGCAATTCGCGGAAAATGCGCTTCGGTTAGAAGACAATACTATACTGCACATCTTCCTGCAGTGTTATTTGCAGTAACTTTTCGTTTGCGCGACAAAGTACTATCGTTCAGTAAAGTGTGGATTTTTTAGCTGTTTGTAGATAGATCCTAAAGTTCGATGGAATTACACGAATGACATTGCAACATGATCGTCACGTAGAAAAGAAATGGAAAAGTTCTGGAAGTGGAAAAGAAATGCACGAAACAATAAATCGCTTTTGACAGTCTGTAATAAATTTATAGTAAACGAGAAGTTGTCGTATATTCATTTCTACAATGTCTTTTTCGTTACGAATGGAACGTGAATCAGCAAGAAATCATCGGGAAATCATATTTCACGGTGGTAAACAACTTTATCCACCTTTCATGTTAAAACTGAAAGGAAATTTCTTATATAAAAGTTATATTTAAGCACTCTACCCTCTACTTCCTATTAAATAAATGTTAGAAAATAGCTTTTCAATTTATGAAAGACTGATTTTTAATCTCCAACAAAATAAATCAAAATAAAATATTTCTTAACATGAAAATCTTTAGTTTATGTCCCCCTCTGAACTTTACAATCAATGATTTAACCGTTAATAATAGTATTTGCTTACAAACAATTAATTGCACCTAATTATAGATTGTTTAATGCGCGCTAACAACCTTGTGCATAAAATTTCCAAACCAGTTGCGCTGCTAATTGAACATTTCGAGTATTGATCACTCACTAGCGCCACGCAATAACCAGCATACATACACAAACAATACGCAGAAGACGTCGACGTCTCTCGAATTTTCCCCGAATCACTTAAATTCCAACGATTCCAGGCGCAAGACACACCACACCGATGGTCGTTTATTGCACGCGCGCGTTTTGCTAAATTTAGCGCCGGCATTTCGTTGCTCACTAAAATATTTACACGTATTTTACACGCGTATGTACTTACTTTCATCTCTGTACGCGTGCACACCTAAGAAGCAAATGCATTTCGACTGTGAATGTTTACATCGCGACAACCACACATGTGCTTCTTGTTCGCTTCTGCTTCCGCCTGCAATAGGTATGTAGATGTGGAATATAAAATTCCTTAAGGGTGGAAGCAGCAACAGTGATGGTGGCGTACATTCCGGCACCGCAGTTTAGTGTTGGTTTGTTGGGTACTTTGCAGGAGGAGTGTAAGTACCCGCGATGAAAGCGGGCGATCTTTTTTAACGCGCGCAATCAGAGTGCACTCATAAAGTGTGGAATGTAAAATATGTCGATGCGAAAGGAAAAAATAGAGATGAAAGACACTTCTTGGGGTGATTGATAGATAAGCTGATGAAAGACAGTAGGGGAGAGTCGAGATGAAAAAGAATGTGAAATTAATATCTTTCAGTTTTAATAAGTATGAAATTTAGAAGAATTTTAAAGAAAAAATGTAAAAATGCTTGAATTTAATAATAAAATATTCTGAAATCAATTATGTGGGTTTAAAAATGAATATTTTATAGCTGATTTTGCTAAAAATAAGAAAATATTGCCATATTTTTAATAAAATCACCCCTGGCTCTACTCGTATAAGACTATAAACTCGTCTGCTAATGTAGGCGTATTAAGAGAATTAATTGCTTTCAATGAGGCGCAAAATTAATTGCCGACGACTGGCGATGGCGCCTAACGTCAAGGTCATTACTATAATGCCATAATTAACAAATTGTGCGCGTCACTTGCAATTTGTGTCACATGCACCGCTTCAAAATTGAATTCAATTTCTAACAGCGCGCAAAAATAGCGAAATAATTTTCCAAATGGAAAAATACTTCCAGCGTAGCCCCGGCGAAAAATAAACGCAATTCATTTCCGCATTATTCCCATTCGTTTGCATACGTACGCCCGTGCATATCTTCGCTTTCCATTCAATACCTCGCTTTTCATTTCGCCGTGTATTTTTCATTTTCGCGCATTCACTGCGGGCGGTATTGTTTATTTGCTCCACCGACGGCGCAAATTGCGCCCGGATTGGATTGTGCACCACAGCCGCGCCACGTTCGTCTTAATATAGGATTCCGCATTAAATTCCGTGTTAAATGCGGCTTATATTTGCATATGTAGAGTACGTGCTTTTGCAGAAATGGCGCGGTTTTAATGAGATATCGAGATATGCACCCACCTAGAGTGGAAAAAATGTATATAGCTACGCAAACGGACAAAGAAAAACGCAAGGAAAATGGAAACGCGGCACAGACATGCGAGACCGACGAATAACAAATAGATGCGATGTCGTGATGGATGCACTCCCCTTCGGCGAGTTTCTATTGTATCTCTGATGAAACTTTTATACATTGTGAATCTAGAACAACAAACAACTAACTGGAGCTGAAACGCTTGCAACCCTTCGGGGTGATTCTAGGGCGTAAGTACAATAAATGAAATGTAAATATTGAACTACGGACGTAAAATATTATTGTGCAAAGTGGGCTATTTTAACATTTCTACTTTCCTTGGGTTACTAAATGGTAAATAGTTCATTGTTTATTAAACCAACAAAGTAGGACTGTCAGTAATGGTGCAATACGCGTTTATAAATGCAGCACTACAGGCGTCCAGAAAAATATTTTATTTAAAGTATTGAAAAACCTACATTTTCAACGCTTCACAATTTCTTATCTCTTGTGCAAGGATCAGAGTTGATCTTGTGAGCAGGAAATTCACTGCTAATGAAGTACGCTTGAATTCAATGCGTGGCTGCCGGATATGGCGCCATCAAACACACAAACTCGGCCCGCTCTCGCGCGCTCAGGATAATACAAATTAATTTAATCCGCACGGGTTCTCGTCCTCGGCCTCATCGGAAAGGACAATGAACTGATCCGTTGTTGTTCGGCTTTGTTTGAAGCACTCTGCTTTCCGATGAGATTTTTCAGTTTTTCCGCAGCGCCTGCCGTTGATTTCTATGCCTTTTTATTTGTGAATGACATCATTAACCCTTTCTATGAATAAATAATTAATTAATTGACGAGTCAAATACTCAAAGTCAAATACGGGCAAAGGGTAAATTCCGGTCAATTTATTTTTACTTTCAAGTCTCGTTTGATTTTTTACTTCTGTAAAATGTTGCAAGAATGTTCTTCCACAAAAAAATAAAAAGAATCGTGCCTAATTGAATTTTCAACTTTTTTACGGTTGCGTTCTTCCCATTTTTCCGTGGCTTACTCGGTATCTATTTTTATCAGTCGGCCATTCTTTGCACTTTATGATCCGCTGAAACGCTCTTTCATGTTCCATCAAACGTCCTTTATTTTTTCGCCTACTAGAGAGCGTTGAGTGCGCCGAGACGGCTGGAACGCGTGGAAAATTAGCATCATTGAAAAGTCCACCCTCCATCAGCATCTGCATGAAAGAGGTCTTTCTGTATAGCAACAGGGGCGGAAGAGAGGGGGCAAACCGCCCAGGAATTGAAAAGCATCCGAATGTGTCTTGCTATTCACTTGTTGTTCGCAGAAGCAAGGTAAAGAAGGGTTTAAAAATAAGAAATAAAAATATAGAAGTATTCATAATGAATACAAGAATACAGGTAGAGAAAAAATATATAAAAACCGCATAATAGCCAAGGAATAAAAATAAAAAGAAACTAAACAACAAAACAAAAAGAGTTGCTAAAATTATTACTTTAGTGCCAAAAAATCCAATAGAAAATTCTAAAACTACGTAATCGTAGTGATTAACATCCATTATTTAGCAGCTAACGATCTCGATAAATCGCAACGCAAATATTTTCCCATACGAAAACACAGCATTACGTAGCCGCAATCAAATTTTACTATTTGTCAACATTCCAAACACCGCACAACCACACGTGAGTCTTCTTCTTCTTCATCATTATCGTCTTCAGCTTACTGCATGTGTAAGCCGCATAATACCCATCGTAAACGAGGAAACAAAAATAACTTTCACCTTTCGTCGCAGTAAGTCGAGCTTAACTTCTGCGCTCAGTTCGCACACGCTTCGAAGGCAAACCAGCGCGAAGAAGCGCTGCCACTGCAGGCGGCAGTGTTTTTATACTTTGGCATACATTTACGTATAACATCAGCGCAGGTATTACGCGATTATTGTGCGTGCGACGTGTCAGACTGAATGAAGTAATTACTTGAATTCTTAGCGCAAAAACAACAAATGCATTATATTTTCTATTACAGCATGATTATTACGGTTGAAATTTTCGTAACGTGCAGATTCTTCAATGTGTTTTGTTCCAGCAATGCGTAAAAAAGCAAATTTACGTTAAAAA